AAAGGGTTAAACCACTTAAACGGACGGTGCCTTAGAAATCTAAAAATGTTTTCATTTCGAGTATTATATCTATGGTTGTTTTGAATTGATTCTGGGAGGTCGTTTTTAGCTGAATGCATGTACAGTAGTTTATTGATTCTAAAATGTACAGTCCTGTTAGGGTGTGGATTTTTAAATTTTGAAAAAGGTGTTTGCATGAACTAGGTGGATGAGAGTTGGTCATAATACGGATAATGCGTTTTTGTAGCCTGAATATTGATTTGACTCCGGTAGCCTGACCCCATAACATTATACCATACCTCAATACTGATTCTACATGAGCAAACCATTTTCAGAGTTTCCTTATAGGAACACAGTCCCTTAAATGCAGAAATACAATTGACATGGATCTAAGTTTACTTTTTAATTGATTCAGATGTACATCCCATATAAGTGATTCATCTAAAGTATGTAAACACCTAGAAATTTATGAGACGATACCAAATTTAAGGGATTCAATTTTGTTACCATTGTTTCTGACAGAAAATTGTATTGTTTGCGTTTTTTCAAGATTAAGTTTTAATCCATTGTTCAAGAACCAACCCTCCATGTCATAGCTGTTATTTATGTGTTATGTATAAATAAACATAAATATCTATACAGGGTGATCAACTCAAGAAGGCCACCATTGGGATATCGGAACGTAAGAATTAGAGAAAACTTCAAATGGGGAACATTCCTTTATTTTTTGTGGCAGTAAAAAATATGATTTCAGTTTTTCGAAATTCAGCCGCCATTTTCCACAATGGCGGCCACTTTTGAAATTTCTTAAGGAACACCCTATATGTTATCATGTTTTCGGATCATACATACAATTTAAAAACTTGTTTACTCTTGACATTTTTTCGATAAACCCACTCGTTTAGGAGTTACAGCCTATGGAAAAATGACTTCCGGTGTACATTTTACATATGTAGCTCCTAAACGAGTAAGTGTAGAGCAAAATTGCGGAGAGAATAAGTCTTTAGAATTCCATCTACATTCCAATAAGACCATAAAATACACAGTTTTCCACTTTTCAAGTTTGCCGCCATTTTGGAAAATGGCCACAATTTTTTTAATAATAGAATTAATATTTTTAACGAATTTTATGGTCTTTTTGGAATGTGGATGCAATTTTAAGACTTGTTTGACTTATTTACTCTTCGCATTTTCGATATAAACCTACTTGTTTATGAGCTACATGATAAATATTTACCTAAATTAGAACAAACTCATAACTCCGCGACAGATACCGTTCATTTAACTAAAAAAATTTACTCTCAGCTTACCCATGATAAAGGTTGTTGACAAGCTTATGGGAGAAAGTATGTGTCAGAATGCTGATACCGTTTATTTTACTATGTTTAAAAGCATGAACCCCATGATTTTGGTGTGAATAAAGAGTTGTGATAGAAAAACTACCTCTAACACCACTTCACATTTCATTCAATTGTAAAAAAACATTTGATAACCAACCAATTTCCATATTCGTTTTATAGAAAATAGATCTTGCCAATGCAAAAGAATGGAATGTATATCCTACTAATATTATAAATGAGAAAGTTTGGATGTTTGTGACAAGTGAACACGAAAAATACTATGGTCGGATTGGGCTGAAATTTGGCATGATGATAGCTCACATTCCCGATTAACATATAGGCATATTCTTATTTCAAAAATCCTTTCGGGCTCCGCCCCAGTGGCTCTGGAGTTTCCCATGTTAACCTTATGAGAAATGGAATTATTGAATCTTAACAGCTGTTTCAATAAAACAAGTTGGTTCTGTTCTATGATGTTCAATAGCATTAAAGTTACAAGGATTACCAACAGGGTGCAGCACTATTATTTCTTTGACATTTATGACAACAGCTAATTTGCAACCAAAAGGTGAGTGAGCGTAGCGAACGAACTTCAACTTGGAGGCGAGTGAGCGTAGCGAACAAACTTCAACCAGGACTTGATTGAGCCATGCGAACGAGATAATCTTGAAAATTAAGAAATTAAACGGGACAAAGCCCGCGGGTTACAGCTAGTAGTACTTTATAAAAGGCAAAGCCCTCACTGACTCACTCACTCATCACTAATAATTCTCCCACCTCCCATTTACCTAGGAGGCTGAAATTCGGTACACCGATTCTTTGGACATTAAAATAGAAAAACAAGTAGTTTTTATTCTGATCGGGCTTTCGGGCTCCGCTCCAGTGGCTCTGGAGTTTCCCATGTTAACCTTATGAGTACTTATGCAATTAAAGAATCTTAACAGCTGGTTCAACTAAAACAAGTTGATTATGTGATGTTCAATACATTAAAGAGTTAATAGGTTCACCAACATGGTGCATCACTATTATTTTTTTACATTTATGACAACAGCTTGCAACCAAAAGCTGAGTGAGCGTAGCGAACGAACTTCAACCTGGAGGCGAGTTAGCGTAGCGAACGAGCTAACCTGAAGGCAAGTGAGCGCAGCGATTGAGCTCCAACCTAAAGGTGGAGTAGAGTAAGCATGAAGCGTAGCAAATGAACTAGCCATGCGAACGAGCTCATCTTGAAAATTAAAGAGCATTGACATAAACCACATTAGGACAGGACGACGACTTGACCAATTGAGCAGATTTTTTTCATGAATAGAGCCAATACAACCACAGGCTTAGTGGAGATAGTCATTTTTTATTTAATACTCTCCTAGGGCCCAAATACTTCCTGACAGCTAATTAAGTCCAATGTTGTTCTTTGGAGTAACCATGAAAAGCCACTCGAAATACCACCCAACCCGGTACGGCAATCAATAGTTTTATTAATACTTATGAAGTTAAACGGGACAAAGCCCGCGGGTACAGCTAGTTTGGTGATAAAACATGAAAAATTGATTACTTCATAGTAGCAAATAACAATTAACAGTACAAAGGGAAAAAATCAGTTGTTACTATTGAGCAAAGAATACACTGAAGATTAATCTATATAGAGGGAAATATAGTAGTTCACCTAGGATATGAATTATTTTTACCATCGACTGTAAAATAAATTAATGTGTTGTGGATTGCCAGGTTAAATTCCTCATCATAACTAATTGAAATTCCACTGAAATTTAAATAATTAAGTCAAAATGTTTTGTAAATAATACTGGAGTTTCCTTTATTTTAATTTAAAAATCGAAATCAACTATACCAAACCATGTCTCTGTCCCCCGGTACTTAGATATATAAACTGCATGCAAGCCTGAGGCGTTTCCACTATAGTGAAAAGCCATTGACTGTATTAATAGTCAATGATAGTGCCTAGTTTTCCCCTTCTGTGTTAGGAACTGATGAGAACCTCTTTAGAGAAGGAGTGGGTGCGTGACGTCACTCTGCTCTAGAGGGAACACCATTACGGTAACGAGACGATATGATTCCATCGGGGTTCGTGGCGTAGTTGATAGACTTGTGATCTGGAGGTCCCCAGTTCGAATCCCGCCGGCGACACTAACTTTTTGTATAAGCTTTTGCTTAGAATGCGAATACTTTCTTAAATGTACATCTTTTGTTAGAATTTGAGGCATTTATAATTTTATTTATGAACAGAACTATTTTTTTTTAATTAGTAAATTTTCATTCGATTTTTATCTTATATCTTTTTTATATTACCAGCAAGTTTGGTTGGTTAGGTTAGGTTATGACAGTTTAATTTTATAATTAAAAATTTAAAAATTAATTTTACGATTAAAAAGTAATTCTCTAACTAAAATATTATGAAATAAATTGAAATATTTTCTTAAATTGACATGAGGGGCTCTCCCACAATCCCCCACTCCTTCTCAGAAAGGTTCTCATCAGTTTCTGGAAGGGGAAAATGAGACGCTAGTGCAGATCCGGAGAGCACAAGTTCACATGTACAGAAACCTTATACTGACGTCATAAATATCGAATGTATATATCGATTGTACCGGGTGGTTACGGGTTTTTCTTCGGAAGGTAAGTATCGGTTGCACCGAATAAGTAAAGGGGTTTTTTTTAACACTTTATTTGACGAATTGAATACTCTCGGTAGTTTATCCATTATAAATCAAATAGTAGAAATACAATAATATTCGTTACAGGCTGGAAATAAAATAATTACTGATACTTTGGATTGAACATCCAAGATGTTTGCAATTGTTTTCGTATTTACCTGACTTATAAAATAAAAACTTGAGTTCACAGGACGTTGAATACTAAGAATTTATTTACAGTAATTATTACAAAATAATTATATATTAAAACAGTCCTCTTGGGCTTCTTAAATTGTCACCTTACACTGATGGGCAATATTTGTTAGTAAATCATTCCCAAACATTAACATAACGTTAACATGTCAAAGTTACAATTATTATTTCACTCTCTTCTAGAATCGACAATAATTCCTGTAATTCGTCTACTTTAATTACAGTTATTGTATTATTGTGGATGCTATGAAATAAATTCTTAGTATTCAACGTCCTGTGAACTCAAGTTTTTATTTTATTAGTCAGGTAAATACGAAAACAATTGCAAACATCTTGGATGTTCAATCCAAAGTATCAGTAATTATTTTATTCCCAGCCTGTAACGAATATTATTGTATTTCTACTATTTGATTTATAATGGATAAACTACCGAGAGTATTCAATTCGTCAAATAAAGTGTTACAAAAAAAAACCCTTTACTTATTCGGTGCAACCGATACTTACCTTCCGAAGAAAAACCCGTAACCACCCGGTACAATCGATATATACATTCGATATTTATGACGTCAGTATAAGGTTTCTGTACATGTGAACTTGTGCTCTCCTGCAGATCCACCATTCTGATTCCACTCATTCCAGTCTTCCAGTCCAGTCCCAGTCCAGTGCCTGTAGTACTAAGTACTGTACTACTTCAGTCTTCAGTCAACAGCAGTACTCACTCACTCAACTCAGTTTTCTTCACTACATTAACTCACTTGGCCTGTCATCTTCTTCAATCAACAATAAGGTTAACTTTTGTTTTAGTTTGTATTGAACGAAAATGAAATAATTATTTCTTTTATACATTTAATTATAAAATTTAAGCTCTAACTTGGTATAATGTTTTTGTATCACCCTTTCAGTTAATTTGCATTCCCTCTAAGGTCAAAGTTCTAATACCGCCTGTGCCAAAGTCTATTTAAGATGCATTTTCTGTGTTATTATTCTGACCATCGTTTCGGACCCTAGATTAAAGAAAAATGTTTAATGTTGAAGGTTGGGTCAACATTAAATTTTCAAAGTTTATAAGGTAGACTGGATTAATAGCCAGGGGTTTAAGCAACATTTATTTTGTTACCTACTTTTGTTTCCCTGTTTTACTAGGCCTACATATCTATGATCAGCTGGTGAGGTTCCCTCCAATTTCCATTTTTCCATTTTTTTAATACTTTAATTGGTAGGTACTTTTTAATAATTTTCTTTAAAATGGTGACCATACAAAGGTCTTTATTTTCATAACCTTTACCTTAGTGACATTCTTTATTTGTTGATGAAACTGTCACTAAGTTAGTTTCTGGAGCTCCTCCGTGCTTGAAAAACTGTCAAAGGTAAGTTATGAAATCATTTTTTATAGGTATACTTACATGGAGACTAATGGTGGGTAGACTTTCATATCTGTTGTCAAAAACAACCGAATGAAAATATTGATTATTTCATTTGATGTATCGTAAACGATATATCGAATGAAATAGAAAATATCGATCAATATTTTCATTTGGTCGTTTTTGATAACAGAAAATGAAAGTCTACCCCTCATGGTTTTGCATCATGGTCTATTAAAACTTTAATAATTACGTTGACCAAGTATCTTGTGGGAACCAAGGTGTCCTACTAATATAGGAGCCTATGATGGCTAAGTTATTTAAGTCATATTTCTATTCTCGTACCTACTTAAAGTACGGTAAGTTAGCCATCCTTAATCATGTCGACATATTTAGCCTGTAATCAGTGGTGTAAAGCGGAATGCGTGGTAACTGTAATCCCACACTGTTTTTCCCAAGGAACCTAAGTTATTTAAGTTAGGTAAATTCCTATTTTGACATGAGATATGGAATTTCTGATTAGGCCTAATAATGTCATGAGGCTGTGCAGAATTACATCTAGATCACCACTGTAATGTTTTTTTCCGTCGCTCCTAAATATAAGATTATTCTTCTGACGTTAACCCTCCGAGTGTCATGCGTCGCTGCAGCGACGCGTAACGCACTTTGTATAGTGTCGTGCGTCGCTGCAGCGACTCGCGAACACTGTTTACGGCGAAGGCTCTATGACTAACTGAATCGGACTGTACTGGATTGAGTTAGGTATCGTTCTGTCCGTAATATTCCAAGCTTTCTCCTAGGTCTGTCTCTAAGCACTATTCATTTTAGTTCCGAAAATATTGTAGCAGACAGCTGACTGAGCTGACGTGCGTGTATTTGTAAACAGCTAGGTTACCCTCGGACCGATGACTGATGTGTTTTATTACGTTTATCATTGTTTTAGTGTTAAAAATCAAAAGTAGTGATATACGTGGTGCATTATAAGAAGATTTAAGTGGTTTTGAAGTGCTGGTTGATGATCCTGAAGAAGTAGGTAGTGATATTGATGTAAATTATCAGCCAGATTCCTAGCTATGGTTGGGCTATGCATTCTTAGCTAAACGCTATGTACTGAAATCTGTTTTTTGCCCATAACTTTTTTATTTGCAAATCTACTTCCTTATATTATTATAGATTTGTAATCCTCATAAAATTTAGAACAAAGTGGCTATTTTCAAATATTTATAGGCCTATAATTTATACAATTTCATTGAGCGCAAACTTATTTTTTTTTTTTATTTTCGAAATTATACATTTTTTTACCTAAAAAAAATTTTTTTTTTTAAATCTTCCTTATGTTTTATATATAATATTGAAGCCCAAGATTTTCCAAACAAAATGGTATATAGAACAGTATAATTAACATTGTTTTTAAGCTTCTCAGATCAGTTTTAATAAAACCTTGCAAATGAGCAAAAAATAGGCTGACATTAAGGCCAAAACACGTGACACTCGGAGGGTTAAAAAAATTATAGCCTATATTATGCATTCACATATATTATTCATCTTTTACAACAAAACAACTATATTACGGTACTGTACTTACAAATTACTAAAAGGCTCGTGTTAAAGTACCTACCAGTTGGGGAAGAATGATGACAAAACAACAGCTCAGTGCCCTGACTACCTTACGTTCATCAATTGCCCATTGTCCTCATCAAGAGCGACACCAGAGAAGTAACTGGGCCGTGAAATTTGTGCACGTAGAGCCTTGATATTGTACGAATAGTAGGCCTAAATTATTTCTAGCTGATCAAATAACTTATTACATACTATTTTGGACACCTGTCAATCCTGTCAATTAACAATGGCGTCACTTCGCTGCTAACATAAGTGAGGGTGAAGTGAAGCAAGTTAAGAAATGATGGGAAGATTTAAGAATAGCCCATTCTTGATTGAAAATAGAAAATTATCATTGACTATTGAAACACTTCTAAAGTGATTAGGTAATTAGACATTAATGTTTCCTTTAAAGAAGATTTTGTTTCATTACAGGGATATAAATGGGTTGGTAGACCACTTACACCGTCCTAGTCCTTATTTAGGCATGTTAGGATGGGAGGTCATTCTTTTGTTGATTCAAGGCTGTATTAAGGAAGTTAGGTTAGATTAGGAAGGTAAAGTTTAGGTTACAATGAACCGGGTATTAGTTGATGTTTTGTAAGACACTGCTTGCATTTTTGAAATAGTATTTTGCAGGGTCTTACTTAGTGTTTTAATTAGACAAAAAGTCTGGAGATAAAGATAACATGAACTAACAACTCGGTTCATTCCTAAACTTACCTTACCTAATCTAACCTACATTCAAAGGACTTAATGCAGTCATGAATTAACATAAAGGACAACCTCCCATCCTAACATGCCTTTTCTGGCATCAAAAGGAATTTGCTGACTGTAAGAAGTTTGGTTTTGCTATATTAGATTAGGTTTGAACAGATTAGGACTAGTTTTTTATCTGATTGCACCATGTATTTTTGGCCTTTTTTCCCCTTAAAATAATTTCCCTCAGATTAGGATTCCCCCCACCCAAAAACCCAGATTCCCACCGGTCCCCTAGATGGTAAGGGGTTACGATGGGTTAAACATGATTTCCCCCTATTTAATACCTATTTTGTTGCACTATGCATTTGATGACTTATTTTAAGTACCATTTTAGTCAAAATTACTTAAAAATCTCATGTGGCCGTAATCTAGAAATTTATTGATAGGCCTAAGTGGTAATAGTGAGTGCTCCCACACTGGAAAATTTACGGCTACACCGCTACCTCAACAATGAACCATTGTCAGGTACCATATTTAGGCTAGGAGGATTAAACATTAAGGAGAGGGCACGCGAATAGGAATACACATGTTGCGGTGAAGCCAGCTTTAGCAGAACACTAGAGGGGCACGCGGAGCCGTAGAGTGGCAAAAAGCCGCGGCTATAACATAGGAGAGATAGGGAAAAACGCGACGCGCACTGTTTCGAATTAAAATTGTCGCTAAACTATAACACCTGTGTTATTCACGATGGCATTCTTAAAGTAAATAAATTTCCTATCGAACGGTGTCAATCATTTCTATAAAAACTATTGTTTATTATTTATTACTGAAGATCAAAGTTGAAAGAATTGGCCTGGACTTTGAACATATCATTACTTTAACGAAGTTTTAAAAAAAAAATATGATGTATCTATACAAATTAACAATTTATTCGTATTCCTTAATAGTTTCGTGAAATAAAAAATATATGTTTACCTATATTTAAGAGTGGTATTTAGAAAAATAATTACAATAAATCTTTTTTAATTTTTACAGTTTATAAAACAATTTTACTAATTATAGGTTAAAATGAAATATTTAATTCGGGTGGTGAAATACATTTTAAATTTGCATTTTTCATAGTTCTCTCGATTTGTTAATACCATGTTTTACTAGTTTTAAGGGATTTATGTGCTAGGCAGGTGATTTTAAATAGCTAAAGATAAGAAAAAATGTTAAGCCGCTCTAACTTTTTTTATACCAACAGCCGTTACAATTAAATTACAAACATAAAAAGTAAAACAATTTCTTGGCAATCAAATTCTAGATTTTTTAATATCATATTGAACTATATTTGATCGGTTTGCCCAAAGAAACTTCAAGTAAAACGTGTAAAATGTTCAACTATCATCGCGTCTTCTGACGCCAAAGTGCGTTTATCATTCTTTTAAAGGATTAAAACTTATTTTATATTCTAATATTATGTTAGAATTTAAGTTTTTAATTTTCGTAGCATGATGTAGTCTAGGTTTTAAATAGTTAATTGATATTTCTGTTACCAAATCTCCCACTCCCAGTAACCCATACAACGCAGTATGAGAGGGTGAGCGGGAGAGTAGCGCTGCCTCTCCCCCTCCCCAGTACGCTGGCTTCAACGAAACTACAGCGTGTCCTCTCCTTAATGTTTAATCCTCCTAGTATTTAGGTCCATAGTTACCATAGTTAGTTCTAATAAATAAATAGTTAGGCTAGTTTAGTGAATCATAGTTAGGCCTGTGATATCTGTCATCTCATTCATCACACGTTTTTATAAACTTTCACATCATGTGGACAACATTATTGTCTCCCTTGGCTGCAGTGATATTGTAACCACAAAACTAAGTAGTCGTAGTGTATGTTTTAAATCATGGGCACTTTCCCATATCGTGGAAGAATCGTGACGTATTTCTATGTTCACGGCGAAATAGTGAACATATACCACGATTGCAAGGACAGCATCTTTGTCCCCCACCCACTATTATGGCAAAAACATGACCATGTCTCAGTGGTCTCAGGGTAATCATGAACATCTTTCGTGGTCGCGAGGCATGATAATCGTCATCCATGATTGCTGTGAGTCGGGATTTTCGATCGCGCAATCTTCATGGATGCTTTCGGTGATCGCAAAAAATAAGTTCGATTTGGTAAATTGCCCCTTCTAACTCTAACAAATAATCAGCAAAATTTATTTTTCAAGAAAAAAATTAAACAAATTATTTTGAGGCCTTTGACAGCCCCCCCCCCCCTTTAATACGCCACTGATCCCTCCCTTTGAATTGCAGAGTGGTTTGCCGATGAAACTTTGAATTACCACCTCTTTCAAATCGGCCTGCTCTCTGCTTGGACTTGGAAATACCAAGTGTATGAAAATGCATGATATTTAACTTCAACATATTAAGAGATTCTCTATGGACAGAGCTTTTACTTTGAGTTAGTCCTATCGAAAGTTTTTATTTGTCGAGTGTGTGTTACCAAGAGTAGATTGTATTATTATAGTTGAGCTTATAAAATAAAATATATTTTAACCCTAGGTTCTGGTGTTGACTAATTTTACTTAGATTTAACTTAAACCTGTATGACTTAAATACATTTTTTGTGTCACAGTAAATTTGGCCACATCTAATGGAGGAAAACCACAGAAAAAAGATATTGGACAATTTGGACAATCTTGCTGATGGGATTGTTTTTAATGACCTCTTCGAGCAACTTAAAAAGAAAAAAATGTTCAACAGTTTTATGGAAAATGAAATTTTAGTAAGTTTGTTATATTAAAATATATTTGTATTAAAGTTTTAAGAGCACGTTTAGTGGGTGAATAATGTTAAATGAACTTAAAAAATATTTTTTCATATTTAGGATACTTATTGAAAACACTGCATTAGTTCTTTCTGTTTTAAATTTTAGATTTATAACAAAACTAATTATAGCCACAAGGAAGGCTGTTGAAGCGTTTAGTTCTAGCTTGTTATTTTTATAAAAATTTAATCACTAGAAGTATAGGCTTGCTCAAAATATAGTATCTTGTAATAGTATATTACGTTACTAGTCCAGAAAATAAGTGTTTACCGGACAAGTGTTCAGGATTAGTAACATACCAGTCCGGTATACACATTTTGGACGAGTTACGTACGATAGTTTACGCCATACTACTAGATCTGTACAAATCCTTATATATTACCACCAACTAAAGGACTAAAAATCACTAGTCATAACCTCGTTTTTGTTTATAACCACTCATCGCCACCCAAATACAGTATAATCAGCTAATTGGTGTCCAGTAAAACTCATTACAGTACAGTAGTACACAATGAAACCCTATTTAATTAAGCTGGTAGCAAACAGCTGTTTTCTGGACTAAATTCTTTGAGTGGAAAGTTCGTCAAAATAGTGTAGTGTGGCGTAAAAATATTAGCAGAGCTGGAAACACCACATTTAAGAAAGTTTGAACATACTGTTAATTACAAACAGATGAAATGGTGATTTTTTTAGGAAAGAAGACAGCTTGATTTTTTATATCGCTATGTGACTACTAGAGGACCCGATGCATTTGGTGACTTGTGCAATGCTCTTAATGATATCAATCGTAGTGACCTGGCAAACCTTCTGACTTCCAAAGGGTAATGTATGATAAAGGCCAAGTCAAATCTCTCTGGTCTAGCACATATAGCCTGACTTAGAATAGGCCTATGAGTGTTAATTCAATTATGTAGTAGCTACCGGTGCTATGGCAAGACCTGCCGACTGCTTGCCCAAAATCTTGATATCATCATCAACTCCTCTCTCTGGTTAGAGTGGGGAGAGGCGTCACGGGAATAAGCCTAGTCCAGCCATTATGTACTGTGCTGAATTCTACCCGGTTTGAGAGAGCTTGTGGTGTAATGGTTAGCATTTTACTGTTCTAACCTAGTGAGTGGTGTCATGGAAATTTTTGCAGTGGCGGAAAGGTGTCACAGGTCTACCTGGCCCAGGCCCCGTTCAGCTTCTGCTGAACTGCACGGTTTGAGTTTCTGATTAGTCTATTCATGTCGAAGTTGCGTGGTTTGTCGGATTTTTGCAAATTTATGTTGTATTCATTTTTTGGCCTAAGGTAACTAACTACATTTTTATTGCATACATAACTTTTATTAAATTCATTATTGTACATCAATGTATTGTTTTGTGGTCGGAAACATATATTTTTTTGATTGTGTTGCAGAAAGTCAACTGTGCCAAAAGGTCAAATAATTTATTCTTGTACCATTAGATAAAAACAATATAGTTTGCTGTAGCGTTAGGTCAACAGTCCCATTTGGTGAACAACTAAAGTCAGTACTAAAAACGTAGGCTGTGTATATGATTTTGACCGTTTGACCTAATGCGATTTTGACCTAGTGAACAGTTCGTTCATACGAGAACAAATGTTTGATCAAACGAACTATTTCGCTGTTTCAATAAGTCAACAGTACCACTAGGTCAAAAGTATATTCTGTTCAAAACAACGATGGTCCTCTCGACTTATGACTTCAATAATTTTGTGTTTTGCAATACTTAAAATTCTGCTAACATTTTAAATATCCCTGGCGCAGCAAACTAAGAATAAGCGAATTTCCATTTGCCTGATTTATTTTCAATTAAATCTATTCAAATAGCATTAGGTTTCAAATCAAAAATCACTTAATTCAGCTTGAAATATACGTGAATACATGATAATTGGTAAGAATAGTATTCCCCCAAATAGACTACAAGTCCGTGCTCAGTTTAACGAGTACCTAGTTTTGCTGCCTACAGGGAGGGTAATAATAAAGTTTGTTTTTAGTAAAAAGTAAAATATTTATAGCTTAGTATAAAATAAATAGATTTGCCAGGTTTAATCCAAATATATCCATAAACAAGCAAGCTACGGTGGGGCAGAGTGGACTCCCTGATTTGATTGGTTAACTGTATAAAAACCATACAAGATTATTACAAAAGCTTTTTATTTATGAAATCTAAATACAATGCCATTTATTTTTCATTGAGTTTTAAAAATGATATCGTCCAGGTGACGACCTTGAGGAGCGATGCACATATTCAGCCGTTCAATGAAGTTTTTAAAAACTCTACGCAGCATATCTGGTGTTATTCCAGTGATAACATCAACAATTGCTTCCTTAACCCTCCAACTGGTATAAGTCGCGATCGCGACTCAATTACGTCACGCGATTACTGGTAAGATCGCGATCGCGACCCATTTGCAAGCGTTATGTAAAACACAATTTACTCCGTTATTTTACGTTTAATATCTATGTATTTTATATAGTATTAAAGAGCAAACACTGAGCAATCTAGTCATCATATGTTTAGTTGCATTTGTTGAAAAAAAAGAATGTTGGCAAGCCTGTATTTCAGATGATTGTTTGTGTTCGCTTGCGTCGTCTAGTCTGCCGCATTTTGTTGTTAACCCTTTACTTTGAATGCTTTAAAATGAATATTTTAGTGAGTTGTGGTTAGTTTTTAACTTAAAATGAGTGAACTAAGTAATTCTAGTGCAATTAGGGCCTGTTTGAATGATGCTGAACCAATATCTGACCTACAAAGTGATGTATTCAGTGAAAATGAAAATGAAATTGATGACAGTGATGTGGGTTCTGATGTGTATGATTCTGACATATCTTTGACTGATTTTTCATCTGGGAGTGGGGAATTATACTTTCCAAACAGTGAAGATGAGAACTCAGATACATCTATTACAGATTTTGATCTTCCAAGACCTAGGCCTAGGCCTAATGAAGTAGGCTTGCGTAGGCCTTTGCCAAGTTCTCCAGAACACCCAGATCCAGATGACCCTCCTATCCCTGAGGTAAATAACCCTTTGAACCAACCTAATTATACTCTGCCAGGGCCTAGGATTAGCTCGGGTGTACACTGGGTTAGGGTTTACCCACCTGAACAAATGTTTGACGTCACAGAAAAATTTCAGGTACGAAATCCAGGTCCTCGAAATCTTCCTCCCCGGAATAGCAACCCTATTACATATTTCTATCTTTTCTTTACTAATGTTATCTGGGGTATGATGGTGAGGGAAACAAATGCTTATGCAAGCAGACAAATAGAATCAGCTATAAATGGAGGTACATTGACGCCAAACAGTAGACTAAGAAGGTGGAAAGAAACCTCTATCAAGGAAATGAAGCGTTTTATGGCCCTTCTTATAAATATGGGTCTGAATTACAAACAGAACATTGAAAATTATTGGTCAACTGTTAGATCTCAGAGATTACCTTTTTTTCCTGATAATATGAGCCTAGTAAGATTTCAGGCACTGAGATCAATGTTCCATCTTAGCTCTCTACAGTATATACCAAAAGGACAGCTCGGACATGATCCATGGTTCAAAGTGCGACATTTCTATGAGCTAATGAATGGATATTTTAAAGTTTATTTTATTCCAAACCAGAACATTTCATTAGATGAGTCTATGATAGGGATGAAGAATAGGTGTACATTTATAAAATATATGCCTAACAAAAGACATGCCCGCTTCGGTATAAAAAAATTTGAAGTGTGCGATAGTGACACCGGGTACGTACTTCATTCTGAGCTGTACAGTGGTAAAGACTTCCTTGAAAATACAAATCCTGATATTGCATTTACAGAAAAGGTAGTTTTACACCTACTAAATAAATGCTACTTACTCAATAAAGGATATCATCTGTACACAGATAATTACTACACTAAATTACCTCTTGCCAAAAAGTTACTTCAAAATGAAACTTACATTACCGGTACCGTCAACAAGCGGTCAAAAGAACTCTCCAAAAGTGTTTTAGATGCTAAATTACAACCTGAGACATCAATCTATTTTAGAAAGCAAGGAGTTCTGCTTGTTGGCTACAAACAAAAGAAAAAACGCAAGCCTGTTTACCTTATAACAACTGGATTCCCCGCAGATGACCGTGTAGTAAAAAGTAAAAAAAAGTGGAATAGAGGCTATAAAACCATCCCTAATAAATGAGTACAACCTTCATATGGGTGGTGTGGACAGCAAAGATAAGTCTATATATCACAGCACCTGTACAAGAGCTACAAAAAAATATTGGAAGAAGATCTTTGAAAATTTTTTGGACATGGCTCTCCTAAACAGTTATATTTTGTACCTGAAAAATACTGACCAGCCTATGACACGATACAACTATATGGTTAGCATCGTTGAAAGTTTATCAAGTGATGTTGCAGTGCCTAACCCAAGAGCTCAGATACCAGACGTTGGTCCTGGAGGAGATGCAGGACCCTCTGCGTCCCATGTATTGACGAGATTGCCTGGAGTACAACTCAGGATGTGTGTTGTGTGTTCCACTCCACAAAAAAAGTCCAGGAGTCATTTTTGGTGCCCTGCATGTAACTCAGGAGTGCACCCAGGCTGTTTTCACAAGTTGGAGCACTTTTGGAGAGCACCCAAGAGGGGTAAGAGAGCAAGGGAAAATAACGCTAACGATTCTGACTAGAATTCTTCTTGTAAACGGTTAGCTCCTTTGTCCAAAGTTGATTCTAAGACTTGTATTTTTTATTTTGTAAATAATTTCAATTCACATATAGGCCTAAAACACAATATTTTTTATGGAGAAATGAAGTGAGAAGCCTGGGGCAGTGGTTTCCAGCACAGGTCCAGCAGGTCTTGTGTTTGTACGGAAAAAGTGCTTCGTGTTTTTGTCACATATTTGCTTTATAGACTTTTTTTTTTTATATAAACTAGCAAGTGTTATACATAGTTGGAAAGACAATGAAACTGTGAGCATGTTGGCTATCTTATTTTTTGATATAAGACATATTTGACCAGAGATAATATACTAAAAGAAGAAGAAACATTTTTTTTTCAATATTGCTGTACCCACATAGGAGGAATACCTGTTAACATACTTGTAAGTACACCATTAAAACTATTATTTTTGAATAGGTTATTTCTTTCTGAAAAAATCTATATATAATATGTATGTTTTTTGTACCATTTTATATGTTTAATGTGGTATTTACTAAATGCTTGCGCGGTGGTCAAAAAAACCTTACCAGTACGGGAAATTTTAATGACCAGTTGGAGGGTTAAGGGCTTCCAAGGTCCTTGGTCGAACTTTGTAAACCTCAGATTTGAGGTAACACCAAAGAAAATAATCGTCGGGGGAGCGAGGGGGCCATGAAACATCCCCTCGTAATGAGATCAAGCGGCCGGGAAACCGTTCTTGCAGAAGTTGGCGAGAGCGACGGGCAGTATGAGCCGTGGCACCATCCTGTTGAAACCAAAAGGCTTCCATATTATTTTCCTCACCATACTCTTCAATTCTGGGGAAGAAAAAGTTCTCCAACATCTGACAATAGCGCACAGCGTTCACAGTAATGGTTGCACCTTCCGAATCAAAAAAGTAGGAGCCAATTATGCCTATGGAGGACACAGCACACCACACAGTCACCTTTGGAGAATGAAGAGGTTTTTGGTGAAGAGTTCATGGGTTTTCAGCTGCCCAGTAACGAAAATTGTGTTTATTTACTGTGCCCGAGAGGTGAAAATGTGCCTCATCACTAGACCACAGAATAGTGCCGGGTTGTAAAGAAGCCAGTATTGCATTGCAAGCATCTGTACGTTTAACAAAATCTGCTGGCATCAATTCTTGAACAACCATCATCTTATACGGATGTAAATTAAGGTCAGAGTGTAAAATTCGCCTCACCGTTCTGGCCGACATTCCAAGAGCAGCAGCATGTTTCCGCGCAGAGCGCGATGGAGATTGTTCAATAGACTTTCTCACCGTCATTATGTTCTCTGGTGTCCTCACACTCTTTGGTTGTCCGACTGGTTTTCTAGGCAGTGCAGATCCTAATATAATATAAATACCTCGTCACAGCTCTGTAGTTTCTGTAGATTACAGCTGTTTTGGCATTAAAATGCCATCATCAGATACACATACATCCACCTGAATTGGCGTCGTTAAACTGTACACATACACGAACACGATAAAAACACAAAAACACGTAAAACAAGAGACAGGCCTGTCGCGTACATGATTGCTACGAGTACGGAAGCTGGAGTCAGCGCTCTTCAGCGACTGATTGAAACTAGGGAGTCCACTCTGCCCCACCCTGTACAACAGTTTAATTATTCTCCATAAGAATAAGTTGGGAATTTTTAATTTACAATTTTCTCTGTAACCAATAATTATACAGAAACACTTCAATATAGTGTTTAATTACAATTTATTTTGTTCATCTAATTTTGTTTTTATTCATTTTTACAACAAATCAATTTAGGTACAATAATCAATTTTAAAAATTGAATAGGCCTAGGCCTGTATTTTTATGAGAAGTTTAAAGTAAGAAATACATTAGTGGCCACATAGAGGTTTCTCTTTAGCCTCAAACACTTCTACATGAAACATCTATCCGTGAATATTGAACACTCAGTGAAAAGAAGTGAAACATTAAAAATCATCACATTCCATTTATAACAAGCACAAAATAGGCAGTTGGAGTAACTTTTATCAGGCAACCTATTTTACCTTGCTGCAAACATATATTTTTCACTTTACTTGTAAATAAGGGCGTTGTCATTTCTTTTTCTAAAACTATTCTGAAGTGTTTTTGCTGGACATTTTAATCTCTTCCTCGCAGCACGAAGGTCTATTTGATTATTCGTTGTCATCAAAGTGTACATAACAGTTTAATGTTGGAGCTTATGGGATTTTAGTCAGCCGATTTAAGTTAAGCAACAGGGTGGTACAAAACCACAAAGAAACCTAAGGTACCTTTTTTTAAACTTACCTATAGATCAAGCATGTTGTGATTTCTTTTTGTAACATTATATTTTAGTGATTTTGGTAGACAACCTTGTTTTATCTTCTCTATAATTTTACTACAGTTAGATTTTTTTTTTAGATAGAAGCGGTTTAGGTGGTGTGGAATATCTTTGAAGATGAATCATTTGGCTGTATGTGTACATCATACGTGTCAAATTTTGAGGTTAATTCAAAACAAACAAACAAACCGGCATATTATAGCCTATTCTTGGAATTGACAATTAGTTAAATAGTCTACTTTTTTTAAACATACTCTACTTTTATCAAATCACTTGGCCATTAAAGAATATTTACTGTGAAATAGAGACGTAGGCTAATTCCTAATTCCAAATCAACTAATGAATAAAAAAAAAAAAAGAATAAGTTGTTAAATTGTTGTCTCCAATATTTATAAGTGATGGTTGCTTTTAAAATAATTAATTAACTTGAGCAAATATTAAAATAGGCTATTGAATCTTCATGCAAAATTCATGTCGATCATTATATTAAGAGAATAATTTAGTTACTGTGACTGGCATATACATGATAAACTGTTGGGTCATAATAAAGACTTAATGTTTCGTTTGGAAATCTTTTAACATATAAATAAAGACCACCTTTTAAGGTGGCGACGATATACACCTTTATAGACTAACGTTTTAACCCATTTAAATTATAATCTGATTGCTAATAATTCACTAATGCCAAGGAAGCAAGAGTCGAGTTTGGTTTATAACATGCAGTAGCCTAAATAAATACTGAAAGTTTATAAGAAATAAGAAATTAGGCAATGAAAATGAACCAAATTGATTGATTTAATCTTAAATGAACATTCTTATGTAAGTAATACTACCCGGTCCCTAATTGACAACATGTCAGTTTGTCTGCAATGATTTAACCTCAAAATTTGAACAAGTATCAAAGTATGAACACATGATTGCAATACAGCCAAAAAGGTTCATCTTCAAAGGTATTCCACCACTGACCACACCTTAAAAAATCCACTTCTAGGTAAAAAAATCCAACTGTACTTGATATAGACCTAATTGGCTATTCATTTTTATAATCAACGGTATTAATCTAATGGTTTTTTACTTTTACTCTGTATGAAACATATTGTGTTACGATTATTTTGTTAACGTTCTTATAACAGTCATGGTGGCATGGCAACTCATAAGGCCCATGTTACAATTTTGGAAATCGTATTATATCCATATTATGACAAAAGATTTTCCTGGCTATACATCACTGGTCTAGAACTCATTTTTGAAACAGAACTTAGGTGTAACGGTGTTTCTCAGTGCCGATTCCAAGATCAAAGTAGGCCTAATGCATTTACAAATTTTACAAACATGTTTAAAATAATTAATATGAAGATATATTAAAACATAATAAAATACCAGAAATGCATTGAAAATCTTGGTGGTGGAAATATAACCAGAAACTCCTATGCTAACAGGTCAGGCAGAGTAAAAGTGCTTTACAATGGGTCATGTTCAAGCCAACCCAAATTGAAAGAACAGTACCCAGATAATGCATTTTGGACGGTCAATCAAGGTTCTGAAGAGTTTGATTTGGATTGTGAGAAGGTAAGTTTTTCCTTGTTCTCATATTGTTATTTTTTATTTTACATATTAGTTTCTCATTACTAACTGTGTAAAAATAATTTAACTGTCAGTAGTAGCCTACTTTGTTTGCAATTCAGTGTTGGTGATGATGAGATGATGGTAAGAATGTTGGGATATGATTTCACATTTTAGCTTAACAATTTGAAAGAAAGCTAAAAATTATGTATAAATTACATCTCAAGAACTCAATAACAATGACATAGAACTACAAAAAATTGCTTTATTGAAATTTTAAATGCTATGGCGAAATGAAAACTCAACGATACAAGAGTTTAGAACAAGCATAAAACGTACAAAGGACAATTTTTAGTCAGAACATTTGCCCCTTAAAATTTTGGCCCATTTAGGATTGATTTCAAATTCCATCTTACTAGGCAGATCTGTATTTGGATGACTCGGTGTCTACATGTTTACTGCTGATTTCCCCTATTAAGAAAAAATAGGAAAGTGAGAGACATATACTTAAATTTAAACACGTTAGCCAGGCGACCTGGAGACCAGGAATCGTATGTGGATTTGTTGGAAGGGAAAACCACAGTGATTTATACTTGATTCAGGTATAGGCCAAGAGTTCCATAAATATTCTAAATAAAAATATGGTCGAGCGTTGACAGCGTTTCTTTGGTTTTGTTTCAATGTTGTGTCTGAATCACAATCATTGATGTAGATATAAACATTGATGATCACTATCACCTGTGGCAAAAGTCTTTCACAGTATCGCCAAGACCGAGTGTTTCCACGATCGTGGAAAACAATCACTCTATCGCCGGGACCGCAAAAAACCTCACAAGTGTTGCCGAGATGGCGGGATTCAATCACGGTATTGCCAAGACTAATAATTGATGTGCTCAAAAGTGTTGCTGTGGTCGCGGGAGATGATCACAGTATTGCTGAGACCGCAATATACTCTCACAAGTGTTGCCTTGATCGTTGGAGACAATCATGGTATTACCGAGGCCGCTAGAACACAGGTGTACGCGATTGTAGGAGATCATCAGGGTTTGCTATCAAAAAGAGTCTTTTTTTTAACCTATGCTGGCTTTCTGCGGGCTCAAAAAAATCTGCATGATTCACAATATATAAGGCTGCTCTTTATTGGAAAAAATCAGCTCAGTTAACTTGAAAAGTTGTAGACAACCATAAAGAGTTGTTTTTAAATTGTTTTGTATAGGAAGTCATCTCAAGACTTGAGTGTGTTTAAAAATGACAGGTAACAATTTATATTTTACTTGTAGAATATGAGTAATTTATGCTCATCGTGGTAAAGAACAAACGCACTGATAATGTCTCCCCGGATTTTAATTTGACTAATGATGACTCAGAAACTAATTATTTAACCCTTTGAGGTCGAATTTTTTCCACATTTTCCGGCGAATTTAGCTTGCCATACAAGCAGTCAGGAAAATGGCGCCCAGCGACCTATACTCGCCATTTGACCAAAAAAATTACCTTTTTTGATTTTTGAATATTTTTTTTTTTTTTTGGGTCCTTGAAGGTTGCCATTTTTGAGCAGTCGGCAAAATGGCAGGCGGCGAAATATACTCGCCATTCGACCGCAAAGGGTTAATGCACTTTGATATAAATAACTTATATTTGGTACGCAATGTCACAAATTGATTTTTGTTTATCTAGAGCCATTTGAATTTCAACAGTTTTGCTAGAAATCAATAGAGCACATTTAATTAGGTTAAAATTTTAATTTTTACAATCAACATTTTGAGATTACGACAGGCCATAAAAACTGACTCTCAGCATGTTACCAACCACTTATAACGTGTACAATCTAACAATAGTGTGCCGATAAAACATATCCCTAACATGGGTTTAAATATTTTCATAGCATAAACTTATTTCAATCTGTGGTCTCCCTCCCCCAATTACCCCCAATTAGAAAATCAAGGTTCTACTGTACTCACAGAGAGTTCTACTGTATAGACAGAGAGTTCCTATCCTATCCTAGCCATCTATATCCTGTGGCCGATCCTCCATTTATCGATGCCGTTTCATTGGTTCTCTTTAAACGTCATAAGGAAATCACTATCACATTTGACGACTTTTGCCGCAATCATCCGAGGCGATCGTAACGGTATCGCTGAGATCACGGCAATGTATGCTCATAAACACGGATATATGCTTATGAGTATCACTGAGATGCGGGTTACGATCACGGTATCACTGTGTGTATCACTGGCCCATAGGCTGTAGGTTGGAGACGCCTATTATAAGACAGATCAATACATCATAATAATTATTGATTGCATTGTTATATCTCCTTACAGGTTTATAGAATGAGATCTTCACCTAGGGGTTTGGCTTTGGTTATAAACATTCGAACATTTGTGAACGGCACATTTACGGAGAGGGAAGGATCAGAGAGAGATGTGGCCAGACTACAAGAGATTCTGCCTCAGTTGGGCTACCAAATGATTCTGGAGGAAGAGTTGTCTGCTAATGTGAGTATAAATTACCCCTGTCAAGCTTAAGCCAAGCTGAGCTTAGCTCAAAAGCTCAAGCGAACAAGCACCAAGTCAGATAATCAAGCTGGAGTCCAGCTGATTATTGAAATTGCAGAACAAGTCTACAAAGACTGCACAGCCTGACTCAGCTCTATTTTTTTTACTTGGTTCTTGATTATTTGAGCTTTTACGCTAGGCTGGTTGGCATACCTCTATTTACCACAAAATCTGTAACTACTTTACCAATTACCAAAAATGTATAAAATACTATATTTACAAAATTGTGATTTTTGTCGAGTTCCATTACCAGCCAACTTCACCTCTATTAACAGTCCTGCTGGAATGAAAATGTACAATGGAGTCTTGATTAACCGAGGTGATGTAGGTAGAGGCTACCTCAAACAACCAAATCTTTAGTTAACATAAATATTCAGAAAGACATTAACCCTTCAAGACAGATTGACGAGTGTAGTTTGTCGCGGCATTTTACAAAGGTAGTCGTACTGTTAACCCTCTGACGCTTAAGTAGTTTGACGAATCTTTTAGTGAGCGCTAGTGTTGAGTGTCCTTTCCAGTTGTCTGATGTGTTCCTAGATATCATCTATTTTCTATAATAAAATATATATTAGATATACACAGTTACATATATATATTAGTTATACTTTGTGTAAACTTGTAAACGTAGGAAGATTGCACATACTTGAAGTATAGTATAGTACCAAACAACCATACTATACTTAGAGTACATGTATCTCTAAAAATACAAATGTTTGAAAAGTCTTCAACAATTTTTGCTTGATCGCGCTGCATGGTTTTGACTGCAAACTGTGCAGTTTGGGGTGACATAACATAATTATGTATTCTTGCTGTTCTGCTTATTCTATTTTTAATAACGCTCAAAATGTAAAATTGTGACTGACTTTAGTTCCACAAATCCTAAATACCAGTGGTCTAAAGTAAGGCACTTGACTTGACAAAATACCGTCCTCAACTTGTCAGGAGGTAAAACTAATATATTAACACATCCAGTTTGTGCTCGGTTAACACAGAAGCTAGATTAATCAAGACTACTACTGTATATTGCCTTCAAAATTAATTAATAAAGAATTTTTATTTAAAGGAATTACTAAAAAAAGTGCGTGAGTTTTCACGTAAACCTGAACATTATGATTGTGATTCCACAATGGTGATCATCATGTCCCACGGGAATCGTCACAAGGAGTCGAACACTGCCCTCATTGCTACAAGGGATGCTCAATACGTCAGGCTGTTTGAACTCATCAACATGATGTCAGCGGGCAAGTGTGAAGCACTCCAGGGAAAGCCCAAAATTTTCTTTGTTCAGACTTGCTGGTAAGTTGAAGCAAAATACACCACCTCAATAATTTTATTGTTGTATTTCCATGACAAACAGTTTATATTAGTCCTACTTTAACAGTAAAATTAAAATTCACTGTACAATTAAAAAATAATACCCCTGCCGCAGTAAACCTGCAGACTAAGCAAATTTCCTATTTCTGATTTGATTTTCACTTAAATCTATTTAAATAACATAAGGTTTAATTTGTACCTAGGTTTGCTGCTTCAGGGAGTGTAATTAATTTAAAGAACCAAATTTTCTCCTACTGTGTCCTCCCCCATTTCTTCTTTTATCTTTTCCATTATCTTTCTGGACTTTACCCTACCATCTGGCCTTTGGTCTTCCTACTGGTCTCCTTCCCCTCGGATCTCCTCTTAGTACCTTCTTCAACAAGCTCTCCTCATTTCTCCTCAAGGCCTTCTGCTTTTGGCCTCTCCTACAATATCAGGATCTCGGAATGATTCTCTTAACTCTTGATTGTGGCGGATTCTCCATAATCCATCTTCACACACTGGACCATATATAGCTCTTAGAACTTTATTCTCAAAGGTTATTATAATCCTCTTTTCCTCTTTTTGCTCTGGGTCCAATTTCCCCTACATATAAAAGTACTGGCCTAATTGTTGTTTTTAGATTCTAATTTTGGTTTTATCGGTTTGGGGTTTAGGTCTTACCGAGCTACCTATGGTAATAGTTGTTATGGGAAAATTTATTAAAGGCATAAAATTAAATTATGTTTGACTTTGATTTTTTGAGATATAAATTCGTCGTTCAGCTTGCCAACAGTTGGCGGCCAACCTAGTACTGTGTAATTTTAATTTTTTAGGTTAATGCGGATCATTCTTATTTCTTGTGTTAAAATAATACCTTTGGGGAAGGAATTAATATGCTGCATGCACCACCCTCTGAGACTGCTTTCAGCATGCGTTGCAAGTAACCTGCAGCGGTCACATATCACTAAAGTTGCCATATCTCAGTTAACACTCGTACAATCCTTAAAAATAGGTGTCAATCGATTTGTAATGAAATTGCCTTAAAAAAGTTATTCTTGTAAACTTTTTGTAAAATCAACGTTTTTTGAGTTATTTAAGAAACAATATTTTAAATGGCTGCCATTTTGTTTTAAAATTTTTTAACATTTTCATAATTATTTGAAAGCTTTGTCTAGTTGTCATAAATGTTTGTGCAAAGTTTCCATTTCATATGTTTCATCATTCTTTAGAACAAAATTAATAAGAGAAAAAAACAAAATGGCGGCTGTGTGAGGAAATAAGGACTTCCGGACAATTTAAATATGTTATATAGATGTTTTCCAACTGAAAATAGAAAAAAATATGTATTTAGGCCTATAACGACATCGAATAACCTAGGATTATCGGTAATGTACTGAAGGCCAATATAACTAGTAAACCTTGCACACGGAATCTTGTGCAAGCTAAGAAAAAAGACTTTTAGGCTTATTAATATTTTTTTATTTAGCATTTTTGGATATGTTAACAATGACCCTAACTTAGTTAGCAAAGACCCTAACTTTGAAAAACATTTACTCTGCACATATTCATTCACATATTTCCTTTGGTATCCGTCTATATGGAGCAACAACTCAAATCAATCTAGATAAAATATTAAAACATCAAAAAAGAGCAGTGACAGTAATGCTCCTCAGACTAAATTCTGATGTCTCAGCAAAAGAGCACTTAAACAGCTAAACATACTAACTGTTCATGGGCAATATATTTTTCATTCAATTTTTATTTTTAAAAATAAAACCTTATCCAATCCAAATTCAATTTACCGGTTCACCGATATGAAACAAGGAAAAAAATCTGTTTTTGCAAAATAGGCCCAGATTAAAGTTTTATGAAAAAAACCATCATTTGCTGGTAAAAGTTTTTTTTTAAATATCGCTGGAGGCATTAGAAATGAAAAGGATAAATAAAACAAAACTAAAAAAAAACTTAACAAACAAGACCATTTATTCTCATGAAGAATTTTTCCACCTCCCTCAAGAACTAGACATTAAAAAGGTATAGAGAGATGTAATTTTTAATTTATAATTCATTTTTTAATCTTTATTTTATATTTTAATAATTGCAATCTTTGAGACTATTCAAATGCTGCATAATGTATACTTCTCAATGAAAAAAGAAATTGAAAATTAAATTAAAATTAATATCTTGGTTTTGTTGGTAAAGGAGATGGTGGAAGTCCTAATATTAAGTTCAAAGTTTACTTGCCTTTCTTTTGATTAATTGATTAATAGGGGATTATTTTAAAGAAATAAAAACCACACCAGCAACACCTATTTGGGGGTGGGCTTGAATTTTAAAATACCACCAAAAAGTACTTTACATTAACCTAATAACGTGTATCGAAGCTCGTGTGAATATATGCAGCCGTTCAAAAATTAAACAGAAGGGGAGTATTATGGGTCACCCGGTAGATAGGCCTAGATAATGTGGCAACTTTGGAAGCCAGTGGGGCAGAGCCCTAATAGAGCTTCAAAATGAAAATAGGCCTACTGTATGTCCATCTGTGCAATAATGACTTTATTCCTGCCAAATCTCTGCTCAATTGATCCAGTAGTTTACACGTTACTATGTGCACATACTCACAAACATCCAAACTTTCCCATTTATAATATTATAAATAAAGATTTGAAGTGTGTCATTATTATCAACAGTTGCATAGAAGTAATACTTATCATTGTCAACTGAACATTATTTGCATCAAAACATAACTTTTATAGTGGCAAAACTCAAAAACTTATTGTAAGTGATAACCAACATTTTGATTGCAGGGGAGACGATTTTAACCATCCAGTAGAGAAAACTCACAATAACGGTGTTACCAGTAATGAAAATAGAACCAACGAGTTAAAGTCAAAGCTAGAAAACGGGGGTACAGAAGGAAACCAGATCTTTAAAGTGAAGGTAGAAAACAATGAAACTGAAGAAAAACAGATAATCGAATTAGAGGCAAAACTAAGGAACGGGTTTGGGTTTGAAGAAAACCACAACGAAGAAATAGATACAGGATTAGAGAATGGCCACTCACCTGAGGTACAGACAGACAGCGCCTACATGGGACATGCAGATGTAATAAGAAGTGATTCTGACATATTTATTGGATATGCTACATCTCTAGGTAATATAAAGCTTATTGATAAGTTTAATTGCAGAGAATTATCATCTTTTCTTACTACTATTTAATTTTAAAAAAAGTCATAGAGAAATAAACTTTTTGCACACAGACTGGCCAGGTTAGACGGAGGGCCAGATTTTTTTTTCTCAAAATACAAAAATTGAATACCTGTCTTGGGCCAAGATCGGGTGAACATTATCTTTAGGAACTGCTTTTCCTGCAGAACGAAATCCTAAACATATTCCGTGGTCACGGTGACAGGGTGTCCAGTGAACCTGGAAACCAAGAAAACCATGAATTGTGATGAACAAAAAAAAAAATCTATGGATCAAACGTGAATTTTGTAAAGAAACGGAAAATTTAAATAATAACTGAAAAATCTGGTCGGGCTCGACCTGAGAATCAGAGGCCATCAGATCCCTTTCTTGATTAGTTAAAAAGCTAGAAGCACTTTATTCTTTACATGAACCATCTTTGTCTTCATTTTATTAATGTAATTTGTTTATTCAATTAGATTGTTAAAACAAAAACAAGTAGTCCGTAATGTAGGCTATGAATAATTATACTAGTAAAGTCTTGATTATCCAACCTAAACCGGCCGTGGCAAGGTCTTATAACACGGAAAATAATAAAAACGACATTAAAAACAATTTAATTTTATTTGCACATCGAAATCATTTGAAATACAGTACTGTACATGTAACATAACTGAATATAAGGGGACTTGAACAGCGAAGGCAGACTTAAGACTAGCACGTATATTCCTGCGCGCGTCCGCGAGCAAGGGTGTGTCCAGTAAAAGTAGTTATAGTAGGCCTACTGTACTTTGACCGCGGAAGCGCGGGGGAATATACGCAGGGGTAATAAACCTACCTGCACTATTCTCGTACGCTAACATAATGTACTAAAACAACAAAATGCACTTACTGCAAAGTAATAGGCCTACAACATGTTTTACTGTACATGTTCATAATCACATCAACTGATGAATTATAAAACAAAACTTAAGCGTGTGTAAAAAAGTTTGTAATTGTCTTTAGTTTACCCGCTTTTGTTCGTTTTCTGGCAGCCAAATCTCGAAGTCTCCTCAACAGTAACTTGTCGGTAGGCGATGTTTCCTCCAGCTGCTCTGCATACTTCAAGCCATTGCCATGTGAAACTTTCAGTGCGTTTTCCTCCAATACTGCATTCTCTTCATTGTCGTCATCTCCTTTTCCGTTTGCTACCATGTTCACTATTTCTTCATCTGTAACTTCAACTTCATATTGTTTGTCCTGTGCAACCCACTCATTTACGTCCTCTTCCATAGAATTTTCACAACCCGGAAAGCGCTACGGGTCGCTATTACTTCCATATAATAATGGAAGTAGGTTGGTTAATTTTGTTCAGTCTCGTTTTGCAAATCTTCATCACCTGTAGAGCCTTATTATCTTGGAGAAAAACTTGCAATGGTGTTTGCTCCAACACTCCCTTGATTGGGCAACGTAGTAAGCCACATCTTTCAAATTAAGATGACGCAATTTATTGACCATGTCCTCTCTCTGGTCCATAGAGTCGATTAGAGAAGAAAGCAGGTTCCTTCGATAATTTCTCTTCATTGCCTCTAAGGTCCTCGAATTTACCACCATAGGTCCATTGGTTGATATAGGGAAGTGACATTCGGAGGCAAAAACAGGGTTTTTATGTCCTTATCTCTAAGTTTCTCCTCGTCAGGATGACACGCAGCATTGTTGAGAAGCAATATCGCTTTCCGAGGCAACTTTTTGGATTTAAAAATGCTACGCACCATAAAGCTTTCTATAGGCTATTCATTAACTTAGGCCTACAAAATTCCTTGGCTACTAAGTTAGCCCACATTGAACTCAAAGCCCTTTCTTTCTAATAAAGATAATTCCTAATTTGTGTTTTTGTTTCTGTCTAATAAGGTAAGTCTTTGTCTTAATCTTATAATTATGAATTATTGAATAAAGAGATTTGGTATGTTACAATATATAATTTATTAATGAAGTACAAATATAAGATAGCCTAAGTTATTGGTTGAATTAGCTACAGGGTAAGTTAACAATGGTAAATTTTCAAAATGGTGGGGTTCCAAAGTGGATGAAAAGATTCTCTAGGCTTAGGCCTATATTGAGTTGGTTTCTTCTTAAGTACTAATTAATATTCAAATAGATGACCTCTTAATCTCAGGGAGGGGTGGTCGTGCCGGTTCGAATGATATATTAGGCTTCTTTAAAATGTAGATAATTTAATTTAGTTATTATTCTGAAATACTAGGTTCTGATGCTATTAATATAATAATGTTAATGTCCAAAGAAAGATTCCAAATGGTTTCACTGAATTTAAAGAAATAAAATAGAATTTGAAGATTAAATTTTGAATAAAAGTTCAATTTGAAATATATATATATCTTGATGAGTTGAGTTAATTGGGCCTAGTAGGCTATACTGATTAAATGTCCAATGAAGATTAAATTTGTCCTTAGTTAAATAAGATGGATGGTTACCAAATTTGGAGTGTCTGTCTTCTTATAAATTTGTACTCTTCAATGCACTTGTCCAATACTTTTGGATGATGAGAAATTTAAATTTTAGGTTTTACTTTGGGATTATGAATTTTAGTTTAAATTAAACACAATTTCCAATAGAATGATGTTCACACTGTGAAGAGTTGGCAGGATCTCGGGAGAGGCAATGGTAGAAGCTCAGGAAGTCCATGTCCATTGTTGAAGTGATGTACAGCTGGTTAATTTACATGAATGACACTTGCCACAGTAATTTTGATTTTCTTTGGATAATTTTGAAAAGTGATACTATATTTAAGATGTTATTAATATATTGCAATTTTCTTACAATTATATATTACTCTAAATAAATGATTATTGTTGGTTTTTGATGAGTACTTAATAGGTATGGAGAGAATTTGCATAAATATTATATTGTAACATAAAATAGGATGATGTTTCTGTGGGGTGATGGGATACTATATAACATTGAACAAAATTGGATAAAATAACACATTAACAAGGGGAACAAATTAAATAACTGATAACACATTATCAGGGGCATTAACAGACATTGTGAGAGAAAATATACAAAATAAAAGAGAAATTAATGTTAATGATGAATGAATGACATGTAATATTACAAATTATCCCCACAGAAATCTGTATGCTATGAAATGAAATACTGATTTCGACAAAATATGAAATGGAATCATGAATCATTAATATGAATGATACTTAAAGATAGGTATGAATAACATTAAATGATTGATTTTCTGGATGATAGAACATTGGGTGATAATACAACAAAATTATAATCTAAGTTAACAAATGTGTAGGACAATAACATTAAAATGGCAAAATAGAATAGAGTGTTCATGGCCTGGCATGGGAAGAAAGGGATATTATGGCTGTTGTTCCATACTGTTCAATATCAAATAACTTTATTGTTTCTTTGTTATTAAGGAGATCACAGTTTATTAGTAAGTGAGTATTGTTTATAAATTTTATCACCTGGGTATCAGTTTATGGAAAACACAATTTATGGGGTCACGCACTCGCGATTAAGGTCCATGGCACAATTTGGTTGGAGATGATGATGCACAAAAGTCTATTGATGGATGAAATACATTATGAAATTTATTAATATACAATGTCTTCGAAGGTAGGGTCATCATTATCTATCTCGTCGATCACAGCTTCTATTGCTCGGGTTGGTTCCAAATATTTCTTAAGGGCTGATATATGGTAAGGGCAGTATAAAACATCTTCATCTTCTTTCGCTGATATTTATTTAATAAACTGCTTAATGTATCACGTTCTTCTGCGGTTATGTGCGTATTTGTTGCTAGGGAATTATCTATTTCTTCTTGGGTTAATGTTTCATCTTCGATTGGATCTGTTTTTCTATTTTTGAAGTTATTTATTGTGCTATTAAATTTATTATATATTGGATCATCGTGATATACATCAAACGTTTCATCATTAAAATATTCATTATTTTGCCTATGGCTATCATTAATTATTAAGTGACATATTTGTCCCTCTTGGTTGCACATACAAAACTTCAAAGTAACATTGTGATTATCTATCTGCATATCTATTTCATTTGTGTTGAAATTCAGATCCATTTTAAGATTAGACAAAACATCTACTCCTAGTATTATAGGTTTTATTAGATTTGGTACAATAAGATATTCCAATGGCAAGGTGTGTTCTGCAATTGTGGTGGAAACGTAAATAATTCGAGAGACTCTTTTAGATCGCTCATTTGTAGCAGTTTTGATTACTGTATTATTAACTGGAAATTCTTCAAATGGTGAAATTTTGGATTTGTTTTCATTGAACCAGGATTCTGATATACAAGTTATTGATGAACCAGTGTCGACTAATGCGTTTGCTCTAATATTATTAAGTTTGATGCTAATTTCTGGGCAACTTATTTGAGTGAAATTTGGAGATTGATTATTTTCTGAATCATTTTCTAATAAAAAGTTCTTATCGCACATTATACTTTGGGATTGAAGATGATTTATTTCATTACCGAGACTTTCATAAATAGGCGCTGTAATTTTAGAGTTAACTAATGATAATTGACCCTCTCGGTTGTCGCTTACAGCGCCGAACCGTTTTCCTGTATATTTGGTGCAGGATGAGTCTGTGGCTCGTAACTGTGTGATGATTGGTTGTTTGGAGGAGCACTTGGCACGTAGTTATTTTGTCTTATTACTGCGCAGAGCTGAGCTTGTTCTTGGGTTGGGTGGTTTCTGTAGGTCCGTTGGTTGTTGTCACCGTTACGTGGAGGATATTTGTCTCGTTGATATGGTTTGTTTTCATGGTTTCGGTCGTAATTAGGATGATTGTAGTTAGGACGGTAATTTTGATGATTTGGATAATTTCTGTGTTGGTGATTGTTGTTGTATGAATTGTTGTGATATGAAGGTATCTTGGGTTGGTACGCTCTCTGATTCTCGTAACGGCCGTTTTGATGATAAATGTGTGGTTGTTGATTTGGAGTTGTCGGTCGGTTGTTGGATGAGCTGTTGTGATTCTGGTTGTTGGTGCGTGTCTTCTTTGGTCCGTCTTTGAGGTCTTCACGTTGTAGAAGTCTTTCTAATGCACGTACGGTGGTGATGTTCTGTACATTGATGCAGTCTTGTACGATGGAGTCAAATCTCTCTGCCATCAGTGTCACGATTTCTTCTTCGGTTAGGCAAGGGCTCATAGATTGGAGTGAAATTACACGTTCTGTAAGGTATTCGCTGCGGCTGAGGGTGCCATTTGACCGATATTTTTCTGATTCGATTTTGGCTCTTTAAGCTGCGTTGTACTTCTCTTGACCAGTATTTAGCTTCGAATTCGTTGGAAAATTGTTCCCAGGAACTTAAGTCGGTCTTAACAAGTTGTAGCCATCTTGAGGCGGGACCTTCGAATGAAGTTTCTAGCAGGTCTTTGAGATATTCAATCGGGTCATAATTGCTGTTTCGCTCAAGTCCTCTGTCGTAATATCTTTTCAATTTATTAAGATATTCTTTTGGGTTGCCACTTCGGCCGTTGAATTTTGGTATTTGTCGGTCTTTCTCTTCATTTCCATTGCATATAATTTTGATTGGGCCTTGGAAGTTTTCAAATGTTTTGCTCTGTTTGAGGGTTTCCACTTCTTGTTCACATTTAGTCAGATTTTGATTTAAACTTTGGATTTCAGCTTGCTGAGATTCTAAAGTTTTGTTTTGGATGATGAGTTTTGGGAGAATTTCGTTTTGTATGATGGTCAAATTAGCTTTAGAATTCTGTTCGGATTCTTGCCTGGTTCGTTGAGAAAGTTCTTCAATTTTTTGGTCAAAATTCTGTTCATGCATTACCAATTGTGTTTTGACAGCAGATAGGATGTCATTTTGTCTCTGTTGATTTTTATTATCAGATATTGATTGTTGTTGTGTAAGATTATCAATGACGAATTGTCTCATTTGATCTTGTGATTCATCAATTTTTTGTGTGAGTTTTTCATTAAGTTTAATGATTTCCTCAGCTTGTGTTGTCTGAGTGATCTTAATTGAGTTTATTTCGATCTGGAATTTATTTTGACTTTCCCGATTTTCTGAAATATGCGTTTCTAGTGCATTTCGGCAAGCTTGAATTTCTAGGCTATTAGCATCAATTTTATCATTGAAGCTTTGAGTGAGTTCAACTTTTAATTCATTGAGTTTGCTGTTGATTTTACTGTTAATTTCGGCATGGGATTCGTTAATTTTACTGTCGATTTTAGCATGAGATTCGTCAATTTTGTTGCTCAATTTAGTGTCTAGTTTAGTCATGAGGGCAATTAAAGTATTAATATCTGATGGTGCAATTAGTGTTGATGTGACAGTTGCTGTTGCACCGACAGTTGCACAAGGGTTGTTCCGTTGCCGTGTTGTTAGGTCGTCTGGGTCTGGGTGACGTTCGTCGGCGTCGGCTATGTTCGGTAACGATCGGCTGTGTTCGGGTGCGGGTGTCTGGGTTATTGATCCGCTAATGTGACCTTGGCTATCACCTGGCATTTTGGAAACATTCAGACTTTGTTTACTGGACAGTTCAGTGGCAACATTTGCAAACAGACTTGTAGGAATGGGAATACTAGTGTCTGATTGGTCCATGGACTCGTTGCTTTCTTCCTCTGTGAGTTCTGATGTCTGCTTTGGATGTGTTTTTTGTTCTGTGTCCGTGCGTGTGATGTCATCAAAATGGCGACCTTCTTCTTCAATCTCGCTCTCGCTGTCAGTGTTGTTGTAGTCGTAATTTGGGTTTAGGTTAGAATTTTTACGGTTGGGTCTTAAATTATAACCTTTCTCGGCCATGATTAATTATTGTACTAATTATGCGAATTGTGCGTGATTAATTAGTGTTTTGTATAACGGCTTTGTGTTGTTATTGGGGTTGGGATTATTAATTACGGGACGTACAATAGGCTATGGGTTCTTACAATCTAGTACAACTTAAGGTTAACTTAGCCTAAATCGAAAATTGCAATATTTTATGACTACCGTAATATATCATTCGAAAGCCGACACGTTGGGTCGCCAAATTTGCTACGCACCATAAAGCTTTCTATAGGCTATTCATTAACTTAGGCCTACAAAATTCCTTGGCTACTAAGTTAGCCCACATTGAACTCAAAGCCCTTTCTTTCTAATAAAGATAATTCCTAATTTGTGTTTTTGTTTCTGTCTAATAAGGTAAGTCTTTGTCTTAATCTTATAATTATGAATTATTGAATAAAGAGATTTGGTATGTTACAATATATAATTTATTAATGAAGTACAAATATAAGATAGCCTAAGTTATTGGTTGAATTAGCTACAGGGTAAGTTAACAATGGTAAATTTTCAAAATGGTGGGGTTCCAAAGTGGATGAAAAGATTCTCTAGGCTTAGGCCTATATTGAGTTGGTTTCTTCTTAAGTACTAATTAATATTCAAATAGATGACCTCTTAATCTCAGGGAGGGGTGGTCGTGCCGGTTCGAATGATATATTAGGCTTCTTTAAAATGTAGATAATTTAATTTAGTTATTATTCTGAAATACTAGGTTCTGATGCTATTAATATAATAATGTTAATGTCCAAAGAAAGATTCCAAATGGTTTCACTGAATTTAAAGAAATAAAATAGAATTTGAAGATTAAATTTTGAATAAAAGTTCAATTTGAAATATATATATATCTTGATGAGTTGAGTTAATTGGGCCTAGTAGGCTATACTGATTAAATGTCCAATGAAGATTAAATTTGTCCTTAGTTAAATAAGATGGATGGTTACCAAATTTGGAGTGTCTGTCTTCTTATAAATTTGTACTCTTCAATGCACTTGTCCAATACTTTTGGATGATGAGAAATTTAAATTTTAGGTTTTACTTTGGGATTATGAATTTTAGTTTAAATTAAACACAATTTCCAATAGAATGATGTTCACACTGTGAAGAGTTGGCAGGATCTCGGGAGAGGCAATGGTAGAAGCTCAGGAAGTCCATGTCCATTGTTGAAGTGATGTACAGCTGGTTAATTTACATGAATGACACTTGCCACAGTAATTTTGATTTTCTTTGGATAATTTTGAAAAGTGATACTATATTTAAGATGTTATTAATATATTGCAATTTTCTTACAATTATATATTACTCTAAATAAATGATTATTGTTGGTTTTTGATGAGTACTTAATAGGTATGGAGAGAATTTGCATAAATATTATATTGTAACATAAAATAGGATGATGTTTCTGTGGGGTGATGGGATACTATATAACATTGAACAAAATTGGATAAAATAACACATTAACAAGGGGAACAAATTAAATAACTGATAACACATTATCAGGGGCATTAACAGACATTGTGAGAGAAAATATACAAAATAAAAGAGAAATTAATGTTAATGATGAATGAATGACATGTAATATTACAAAAACTGTTCAGTTTGAGGCACAAATTCTTGAAAAAAACCATTCTTTAAACATTCCTGAGCATTTTTTAATTGTAATATTTCACTCGAAAGCATTCTTCGAAACATTCTTAAATGCTCTCGGAGTTTTCGACTTGCCTATCATAGCCAGTTTCATTTTCATATTTGCTGAGGAATTACTGCATGCAAGAATTTTTATTCTTTCTTTGCTCCGTTTATAACCAGGCGCTGCCGCTTTGACCTTTGATGCAAGTGTTTTTGTTTTTAGCAATTTGTAATTAAGACCAGTTTCATGACAGTTGAATATCTGGTCGCCTGATAGGCTTTTCTTGACCAATAGCGTATGTAGCTTAGCCCAAAACGATTGAACGTCTTCAAAGTTTGCGGTAAGCATTTCGCCACAGATATTGAGCTGCCGAATTCCATATCTTTTTTCCATCTATCAAGCCAACCTACACTAGCTGTGAAATCAGGTTCACCTTCGTTAAGCTAATTTTTAAATTTCAATGCTTTTTTATTGTAAAATTGGTCCTGATATCGGTACTCCTTTATCTCTATGTTGAGTGAAACACAGATACAGAGCTTCGCTTACCTTTTCATAATCACACTTTTTCATCATCTTGCGACCTTCCAAAGCAGTTGCTGTGACTCGCTGAGAACACTGTTGTTCAATGCCAACACTATTCCTTTTCCAGTCTCCTACCGTTGTTTTTCCCACGTTATAATATTGCGCCACTTTTAGTAACGTTTCACCATTGTCTAATCTCTTCAAGGCTTTCAGTTTATCTACCATCGTCACAATTACTTTCTTACGTTTTGAAGCCATGGCCACTTTTAGAGACGACAAAACCAAAACACAACTAACAATCTACAGTAGCAGAAACAAAACAAAATAAATTTTACTCGACACGACCTGTCAGTGAAAGAGCTATGTAAGCACTGAGGAGGCAGTCACAGTGGCAGGTACAGTAGCAGGTGCGATGGCAGCACGCCAAAACAGAGATAGTGCGGTCACAGACCTTGACTTCTGGCGCATGAATACAATAGTAAACTACAAATAGTCACACGCAACAATCTGCTGTGTACACTGTACAGTCGGGCCTGGCAAAACGGGCTACCTCTCCTGACAGCCCGTACTGTGAGTTAATTCAAATATTGTTGAGGCAGGTCGGAGGCCGAATAACTCGGTAGGTCGGATAACTGAAGATCGGATAACCGAGACTCTACTACTGAAATGGTTAACATATAAAAGATATATTGAACATAGTTACATCAAATACAAGACGGGAGAGGGTGTAGCTTTTCAATTAACTATGTTTATTTTAATTATCGGCTTATCATTATCAATGTTCATTATAGTGCTTCGCTTATTTATGCATATAAAGCATAACAGCGGACCATCCTAGTTTACTTCTCTCACAAATGTGTGTTGTGTAAAGTGGTTTGTTGTTTCCCAGGAAATGTGTCAATGAGAGATACAGAGACAGGAAGTTGGTTTATCCAGACCCTGTGTAGAGTTTTTGCCCGAGACGCCTGGGCCCATGATCTCCACTCTATGCTCCAAACCGTAAGTTGTTATTCTGTCTAGAAATTAGTTTATTTGATTGTAATGATACATTTTTGTATAAATTGTCGTGTTGATTGCATAGCTAAAATTTTTTTTTAAGGTGTCTGATATAACACTGTATTTTAAAAACTGAAAGTAATAAATCCAATAAGTACCGGGCTCAATTTAAGAATATCAACAAAATATCCTAAATTTGTTTTAATCCAATTATTAATATTTTCTCTATTTATCCACTTCCTATTTATAGTACAAAAAGGGTTATAGACCCCGGTAGGTTAGTTATAGTTTCGGTAGTACCTCAATTTCTACTACAAGCCCTGAAGACAATTGGGATACTGGTTCAATAGCCTTTCAGATACCACAATGTATAATCTAATAGGCTAAGCAAATAATACATCCAACAACTAGATAACGTTGTTCCCGATGCACCATATAAATATTAGGACTGCTATAATAATAATCAGATATATAGGACTGATAATGGTGATTTAATCGCCGACATGTATTTAATTCCTGTAAAGGATACAACAGGATCAATTGGCGGACACAGGTAATTAACCCTTTTTGATTGCCTATATTGATTGGGAACAACAACAAACAAAAATGAAACACCATATATTATACTCAACTCTATGTAGACCGCATTTTAAATGCTAGATTGAGTTAGAAGAATCTCCCAGATAGATTTGTGTAAAGAGCAATGAAACCGACCCAAATTAATTATCATCTTATTCCTTCAAGACTTATCACTAGTTATTTTACAAACTTTATTGTATTATTTTGTTGTTATTATTAGTTTTTTAGTGGTTAACTGTAAGAAAGGACCATTAGGTCCTAAGTTCGCCTCTATAAAGAAGGATTTTCATTTCTTCTCATCTTGTCTTAAATTCTGCTTAAACAACCAAATCAATAACTTAAGTGAAAAGCATTGTTTTTTAAAGAATTGTAATTTTCGATTCATATGCTGTTACTTTAATCATGAACTAGGCCTACTATCATGACTTTAATAATGAGTTACTGTATTACCAATAACTACTATTTTAGTTTGCGCAAAATATCAACATATTTTTTATTCATTAGTAAGACTTAAGACTTAAGACTTAAGACATGCTTACATTTTTAGGTTGATCGTGAAATTGCAGAAATGAACTACATGGGCGCGAAACAGACTCCTACCATTCGTGATAAATTATGTAAAAGTCTTTATTTTCAACCTGGGATTAATGATTTACCATAGACAAGTAGGCCTACTAATGTTGAATTTTATTGTTTGGTTAAATGTTTATTTTTTCGCTGAACTGGATCAAACAAGTTATTATTATTATAAGTGTTGGAGAAGATTGTTAGATTCATTTTAAATTTATTTTGTTTGAAAATATTAAGTAGAGCCAGACATAATCCTGTGGGGAAGACTGCACACATTTATACATTTTCTTTTGTATGTTCTGCAAAATTCTTGATTGTTTGCAGATTATATTGTCAAACTTTAGTTTCATTATCATACAATTTCATAAAAAATATTCAATAACTCCTAAAATGAATTCAGTCCCAACATCTGGTTGAAGATGGTAATCTTTTATCTGTTTACTCCTAATTCATAGTGTAATTTAAGTTTGTTTTGGGTGATATAATCGAAGGCTGCATGGTGGTTGTAGGTGAAACGAGAATGCCGAATACTTGAATTGGACTCGGAGTCTTACTCCATTGAAGAATATAATCAAGGGTTCAATAAATCTCTTTACTTTCAACCTGGAGTATGTCTGGCCTGCAACCCAATCATGGACAAATCTTGACAACAGTATTTGCTAGTCGTAATGTTTTCTTGGCAGGGTAAATTAATTATGGATGTTTTAGGATCAGTTGTCGGTTATAAAATTTACTCTCTAACACTTGTAATGAAATACTAACAATCCCTTTAAGTATTTACATATAATGTATCTTGCTGTTTGGAACTTTCTCTAACAAATCAGAGTGAAAATTGCCATTCACTCTGTATACAGTTTGACAGAAATTCTATAAGTTTGTATTTAAAACAGACTTGAAAGTGTGTCGGCTTAGCAAAAAGAAATTTTAGTTGGTAAATGTGTTCAGTTCTAGTAGATTACTATAAAATATTTCCATTGATACAGTATCATTTGTTTTCTCGAGCTTGTGTGAATCCAGTTCAGTGAGTGCAATCCGTAGCGCTAATTTTTAAACTTATTTAAGGTTATGTATCTAATGTAATGTTTCACTGTGGTATTTTCAAGCATCTAATGTTTTCTATTCTTTAATTATTTACTCAGAAGACACGAAATAAAGACAAATGCCAACTGATTGTAAAAGACTGATCTTACCGGACATAATAATTTTATATGAAAGTGCAATATGAATAGTTTTATAGATTAAACAGTTAAGTTTAAAATGTGATCAATGAATTAAAATCATAAAATTAGATGCTGAAACCCTTTAAACATACTTTTTTTAACAAATTTTCTTTAAATGAGCTGTTATTTAACTATACAATTTTCTTTAGTAAAACTAATATGAAGATACTTATCCAGCTCATTAATATAACAATCTATAAATTAAGACAAACTCATTTTTGTTTAACATCGATTAAGAGGTTTTTTTTCAGAATTCTCTTATTGGAAATAATATATTTATGTATATAATAATATAAATCATTTTAGCCTCTGGATTGATTATATATAATTAACTGATAATGTAATAATAGCCTACATCAGTGTTTCCCAACAATTATTTCCTGGTTTATCACTTAATAATACAAAACCATACTGTGTACCACTTTTTTTTATATTTATTGTTTGTTACCCTAACTGGCATTACAAACCTTTCTTGAGAAGGTTATATTTTTAATTAATTGATGAATATCTGAGTGAAGTACTTATCTTAGTGAAGTAGTGGTGCTATAGTTTTAATTTAGCTCATTTAACCAGAGTGCTATTATTTAAAGTATGTCACTCAGTTTTGACTACCTTAACCTAACAAAATAATATCGTCCTCATCCTAACGTCTTGTTGACTATATACGGTTGCTGTTTGGCCGTGAAATAACTCTGATGCACCAGGCCATAAAAATCCTGACAAAATACTCGTAGTTAGAATATAACTACGCACAAACCACAACAGTAGCCTCAATATATCACTACTGGTACACGTACAACAGGTTGGGAAACACTGGATTTACATCACATTAGAATGTTTAAATGAATAAAAATCACTGAATTTTTTTACTGGACTAAATGTAGTGCAAGTGTACAGTAGAACTCCGATTATGCGAATCAATTGGGACCAGACCCCATTCGGATAATAAAAAATTTGGATGATCGTTGTTTTACAGGAATTCCAGGAATTTCCAAGGAAAATCCTCATTTATGGTACTAAATGAACTTTTAATTAATAATAAATTGAATCAGAACATTTTTACAGTTTACAATGCTCATAGCACAAGTGTTCTATACATGTTCTTAGAGTAAATAGTGTTCCATCAAAGTCCAATATTACACACTGGCTAAATTTGTTTAATAACAATCCTTTTGATATTTTGCGAAACCTATTAATACTGTAGCTTTACGTTTTTAAAATTGTTTAAATAAGCGATTCGGATAATCGGCGTTTCGGTTAATTGGAGTTTGGATAATTGGAGTTTTACTGTATATCTTAAGCCCTCAAAAACGATTTTATATATTTTAAATAGGTTTGTGATTGTAACATAAAGTGATGTATGTGTCTATAAAGTAAGTTTTAGAGTTTTATATATATATATATATATATATGAGTAAAGTTTATATATTTATTTATGACATTCAACAAAATATTGTTGTAAAATTTGTATATGAATTTCATTAATACAAATGTAGTCTTTCAAAGTATAGATTCGTATAATACTAAACTAATATTTACAAAAATTTTATAATTCTGTATGACAGAAATTGGAAAATTATTTTGACAAATAGTTGTATTTTTTGTACTAGTGAGATAGTGAAAGTTAGGAGTGTAAGAAACTCTAGCATTTCAGGTTCTGTAAATCATCGATATGCAACTTAAAATCTTGTGAATCTCTTTCTTGCTCAAATGTATGGGGGCCTTCATGATCTATAAAGTACCTTTCATATAAAAAACCCATACAATTCTTAAGAAATAGTTTGTATGTAATATATTCTTGTACAATTTAGTAGTAAGTGATACATTTATACATAGTAAAAATCTAATAAAGCAGAGCTCAATCAAGTCTCAGGAGAATTAACAACAAAATTGTGTTCAACAAATCAATAATCCAAATGTGTTCAATATGGTAAACATAACAATTTGTAATTGTAATTGTTACCATGTCCATACCACCTAGTGTCCTCAGGAATATATTTTTTGTACATAATGATCTCTCAACTAGCAATCTTTGTATGTTCAGGATTGCCTGGTATCATAGGTACATAGTTTTCAATATTTTTACTTTTTAAATGCTGGTTGTTGTATTTTAAATCCAATTGTATTTTTGTATTGTCTTACATTTTCCTTTCCTCTAACAAATGTTATATTTAAAAGTTACATTTGGTACAGTGGAACGTGCTTAATTTTAATTTCTTTAACTCAAAAACTTAAAAAACTGGAATTTTTTTGTTCGCATATCGACGTTGTTTAATCAATCTCAATGTTGAAATAAAATCATGGTTAATTCTAGTACAGTATAACTTTGGATAGTTTGCATTCATTAATGGATAGCAAATGAGGTATGGCAAGATAAATGTGCCAAAAAACAATCAAAATACTGTGTGGTGTTGTAATACACTGCTCATCTTAACTAAGTCAATTCATTGTCTTCTTCTCCCCTACTCCCTTACAATCCGCCTACAGACTTGCTCTCTACCTGCCAACCCTTGTTTTTTACAGTCCTATCCATCAATTAAAGTTCACATTTAACCTTTCGTACGCTTGTTGCAACTTTGCGGCTTCAAATTTTGTTGAGTAAGTATAACATTGTTTACATCTGTTATGGTCCTCATCAAAGCCAAACCAACCTTCAAATCTTTGACCTTTTCTGAAAAAAAACCCCAGAGTTTTCATTATACCCTAAAAATTATTGAATACATTTGTTTCCAGTACAAGTGTAAAATCAAAAGTGTGACTTTTCTATTTTGAAACCTTTGTTACCAAACTTACCTCACTCAAATTTTTGGATAGCTGATTTTTTCTGGTCCTGTGGTTTTTAAATTAACCATGTTTCACTGTATTACATTTTTACACTATCTATACCCTATTAGCCATTACATTATCTCGTTTATTTTATTCTATGTAAGAAAGGTGCCTTGTTTTTATGTTGGATCAAGTTTTCCAATATTTTGTAACCTAACCTTTTGTTAGTTTATTTTGTTGAAAAGAGTAATTTGTAATAATAAAATTTACATGTATAAAACACAGTGTTAGTATTAGGCTGTTTACATTTTTTTAACTAAATTTATTGAATTCATGCTTTTTTAAGGTTCTTCCTCATCAGGGTGCAGGGTGTGTCTCATTAGCAATCCAAGACCTCCCTAAATCAAAAGTATATCTGTTGGTCACCTTATTGTTTTCTAAATGTAATAACAGTTCTCTTAAGTTGCCCATATTTTGTTTTGTTAAGTACATTGGATTATTTATTTGAGATTATACTTTCTCCCATTATCTCCTTAAACGTCAGAATGAAAAACTGGTGGTGTGTATTCAAACTCTATATGACCAGACTCATTTCCTCTACCCCAATTCTTAAACTGTGAAAATATAAAGTTTTTAATCCTACATGAAAGTATGCTATCTGATTATGTTGAAATCTTGGTCCAACATGAAATACATATTTGTAAATAGTTCAACCTGTAACATAGTTTTAAATATTATACAAATGTTATATGTACGTAGGTATATGACAAGCTGAAGTTCAATTGTTACCTAATACTGAATGGTTGTTTACAAAATTATTTTTTAAATTTTTTAATTAATCTTAACTGTGATATGTTCTATAACTGCAGGCACCCTACCACAAGGTGCCAATACTCAATTAGTATTAGTATTTAACTAGGATTATTTTTTATTGTACCTACAGGAGACTTTCCAATGTTCTTACTTCTTGAGGTTCAAATAGCTTATGATAAGAATCTCACACCACACACTCAAATGTGTCCATTGCTTGTAAACAAACAAGACACAACCTGCATAACGAATTTGTAACACTGACATAAAAAATTAACAGTGTAATATATACCTATAAAGGGTGTCCCGAAACTCTCTAGCAATATGTAAGGGCATTGTTCCTGGGTAAGAAACATATCTAAATATCATATATAAATTGTCTGGAAGTCCGTAATTACTCACAGAGACGCCGTTTTGTTTTTCACTTATTATTTTTTTCTGAAAAGTGGTTAAACATACGAAATTGAAACTTTTGCACAAACACTTATGACAACTAGACAAAGCTTCAAAAAATTATGACAATTTTCCTAATTCATAAAACAAAATGGCGGCCATTTACAATTTTGTTTTTTCAATAACTCAAAAACCGTTGATTTTACAAAACGTTTACATTACAAGAATAACTTTTTTAAGGCAATTTAAATATAAATTGATTGACACCTTATTTTTTTAAGATTGGACGAATATTAATTGAGCTATGGCAGCTTTAGTGATACGTGACCGCATGCCTCGGTATGCAGTTATGCACTAACCTCCAGCGACCAGCGGTCAGGTTCTTAGTGTTTAAACAACGAAAGTCTTCTGTACATGCAAGTTGTTAATCATGATAAATTTAAATTGCTTGAAAGTTTTATTTTAATATGGATTAATTTAGGCATGAAACAATGGTTTTGTGAACTTTAAAACTTGTTAGTGATAATACTAATACTCAAGTTAGGAAGAAACAAAGGTTAATTTTGGCATTTATTTATGTATTTTTTTATTATTTAATTTATGACAGTTATTTATGATATATTAGTGTACATTTACTGTACCTACTTTTTTGCATGTAGCCTACTTCTTAAATTAAAGTCTCATAAGTTATACAAAAAATATAAAATTAAAAAGTAAATAAAAATTGCAAAATTGGATTTAAATGAGTTTTTATTTTATACCTTTTTTTATGTTTTCATAGAAGAAGGAGCTGATTATTAGATCTAATAATAAATACAAGGAGGCAGTGATGGATAAAGCCGGAACCTATTAGTCTGACGCTCTCCGATCCTTGTTCAGTCTCCGAAAGGCTTTAAATGAACTCAGTGTAACCCATTCCTTCCATTCAGATATGTATCCATTCGATGACATTGCTCTTTGGGGAATCGTTGACAGACATTGGATCCGATGTTTCTCTAGTCTGCGTGCACCAGCCTGAGCCTAGTTTAGTCATTGTCAAGCTTCGTGTGTGACACGAGTGTAGACGAACTTTTGATTGGAGCAGTTAGGGAGTATCCCTTTCTTTACAGTAAGTGATCAAAGTTATCATGATAGCAGGAAAAAGTAATTTAATATGACGCCTGTCAGGAAACAAGTAAAAAATTTGATTACATGACAGGTAAGTTTATGCTCGCCATACCTCAAGGTACGGTGCAATAATAAGGATTTTCGTTCCTCATCTTCAGCACACAATATGCGGCTGCCACAAACAATATAAAGAACTGGGACGGGTGGTGTCCTGTAGTCCAGCTACTAGGAGGTCACAAATTGTGGTTATTTATAGGGATGCACTGTGGATGGGATGCTCCCTGGTGTGGATTAATGTCCGCACTAGTGAGTAGTACGACTATCCACAGTACTATCCTGATAATTAGACCAATTTGTAAATTACAAGGAAAAAAATGTGGTTCGGATTCCACTATAAACTGTAGGTCCCTTAGTTGCCATTAGCTGTATGGGCTATTAATTAAGAGCTGTGTCTAAGGAACATGTCGGCCTTAGTCACTAACAAGACTACAAGATCGCGCCACTCATCCTACACTCATCTCCATTCATACTTGGCTTAAAATACCTAGGTACTTTGTATGGTCGCCATTTCAATGTAAAAACAGTCAAATCCACAGATACAACAGACGATTGACGACTTCAACCGAGCGAGGAGGAATTTCAGTAGAACCATAGATAAAACATACTCCACACAAGGAGTATGTTTTATCTATGATGGTAGAACTGAACGAAGTCCATTATTTGTGATGGTGTCTATCTATTTCAACCACCTACCAAACAAAATCAAGGGTATAGAAGGCACGGAATTCAAAATTGCTTTGAAGAATTGGCTAGTTAAAAATTAATAAAACATTTCAGAATTATAAATCAATTCGGCTGATCAATTTGATAGAAGTTACTTTTTTTGGAGTGATCTAAGTTGATCCCAGGTATTACACACTTTGGTCATTTATTGGAGTTAAATTTGGCAACGATTGTTTTTATTTTTATTTTTAGTTTACTTTGTCTATGCATTGTTATCAATAACTTGCATGTACTAACTGGGACTGTTAGCCTAACTGATTGTTACCAGATGATTATTATAAATGACTTGTGTCTGATTGCATGTAACTGCATGTTTAAAAGACCAAATAAATTCTCATTCTTGTTCTCTACACAGACAATAAATGAGTTGATTTGATTTGAGTTTAATGAAACCCCTCCAGACGGAAGAACCATGACGATTCCCCGATCTACGGATTGCGGTGAAGACATCGAAGGTAAAATGTATCATAATTGTATCCTAAAATGTATGAATGTATGTTATATTACCTTTACCATCATCAATCCTATCGTAATTTTAATTTTAGTACAACTTTTCCTCCAGATAAAAAAAAACACAGTCTCCCCTCCAAGTACGTCTTCCAGGATTATCAGGCATCAAACAAAAAATAATTACTTACAAAAATAATAACATAGTATTCAATTGTTATGTATTGATTTTAAAGGCCGTGCATTAAGTAGGCGAGTTGTTGGAGTTTGGAATGACTAGTGAGTTGAGTAGTGGAGTAGAGTGACTAGATTTTGAAAAGCTGTCTGCTGACTTGACATTGTTATTGCCGTCTAGGTTAACGAGCGAAATGACTTTTTAAGTTTGAAGGGTTGTAGTGTAGTTTTATTTAAAAAATAAACAATGTGTTCGCGTAGGAGTGTGCTTTCAGTTAGCAATAAAGCTTTCAACTGTTTTTGTAAAAGAAGTAGGAGCCAAAGTCCAAGACTATTAACTAGGTAAAAATCTTTGCTTTTCAATACTTCTTATTAGGCCTAATAAGTTAGTCATTGAACCATTACCTGAAACAAAGATGATAATATGTTATTGCTTTTTCATTTGGTATATTTTTATATTTTTACTGTGAATTCAATATGAATTAAGCATATATGAATTATTTTGTTGATTCTCTTAGCCTAACCTACAAATATAATGTCAAAATGGGTGAAGGTCACCTGTCAAATTTTGACCTTAACCTACTGAAAGCCCAGTGTCTAAGAGTAACTTACTAGTAGCGTTGTGTCTATAATTGTTATGGTAAAATATTGTTTATTTCTTGAAACGAAAGTCCAAACAATGATTATAAGTGTAAGAAATCTTAATGATAATCCCAAAATGATAAAGCCTAAATTATTCTTCTTCTAGGCCTATTCGAGCATTCAACTAAAATCGGGTACAGTTCCACGGAGAACATGTGATTTATTAATAAAATTATTGGATGATATGTTAGTTAAATGTACATAAGTTTATACCGGTTCAACCATCTCACAGCAGTAAAAATGTTGGGCCTACCTTTTTTGTTAGGTACTGTAATGGTTACATTTGCGATAAGTAACTCTGTGGAACAGATTGGATTGAACCGCTCCTGCCTGATAAATAACTCAACTTAGGTCAGCTAAAAACGGTTATGTGTTATACGGATTATGTGGTCTACTAACTTGCTCCTATTTTACTACCCACGATTTGATGTTTGCATAAATAAAAGAAATACCTATGAATACAAATACAAGTTAGAGTATTTTGTTATAATAGCCCTTGTGAAACCTTAAAAATAAAAAGGAAGGAAAACTGCTGCATGCTTTGAACATTCTTAATAACATTATCTAACTTAGGTACCTATTCAAAAGTCATTTATTTTATATTAGGCCTCCTTAATTACATAAGCCTAAATGTTTAAGGTTTTTATGAAATCATGAGCAATCTATATAATTAATACGCTACATGAAACTTTGTCGGTTGAATGCTTTAGGTTTATCAATAAAGATAATCATGGACGGTTGAGCGAGAAGTCCCCTCTTTGAGTACAGTACTTTAATGTTTATCTGGCCTTACCAGTGTTACACTGTGGAATTTCACCGGAACTTTCATCACCCGTCTTTCTTATTTACAGTGTATAAATGTTGATATGTCACTCTAGAATATAATATATTTTTTTTAAATCACGAGCTACCGCACTCACACATAGCCTATAGCCTACGTCATGCTACCTATTAGATGGATTAATGCAACTCTTTCTTTTTATTATTACTTTAAATTAAATGCTTCAATAATTAATCCTTGACTTAATAAGAGTCCTGATTGTATTTTATTTTACTGTATATTTTATTCAACCCGTACGAAGAACGGGTACACAGCTAGATTCTGAATACTGTGATAACATTTACAGAAAGTAAATCCAAATCGCCTATGAACCGAAACATATATTTACATTCGTTCGCCTACTGAGTTTAATGATAATTTTATTTTTCAATCAAAATAAATTATTACTTGGGTACCATTTCATTAAATATTTATTGTCCTAAAAATAAAGCGTATATGTGTTTCAAGTGTTATTGGACATATTTTTATTTATTTTCCGTAAGTAAAAGTCCCCAAGTTCACAAAAAATAAATATAAACAAAGGTTTTGCAATCCCGTTAATCCCGAGATTAAAAGTCACCAATCCCGGGATTTCTAGGTATCAAACATCGGCCGGGATCCGGGGATTCGGGACCCCTACCTGCACAACAGACTATCGATGTTAGTTCTTCACACCAACAATAAATCTAACTATATTAGTAAACTGTTATCTGCTCCCCTAAAAACAAATTTCCAACTCGTAGACCTACGGTAGGTACCTTGTTTTTGCATATGGTACGTTGCATTCCCAGAATGGCTTTTCTTCATAAAAATAATAGGCCTATATCATATCATGAAAAATATATAATAGCCTACATTACCGTTCACCATGTAATAATCCATTACATTAAAAAATCCAATTGTAGGCTACTATTGGTAGGCCTAAATCCCATTAACATTTTGTTACTGAAATTATTAGGCCTAAATTGTTTGTTGATAGTGAACAATTTTTATTTATCATAGTTGTCAGCGGATATGTTTCAATTTGTTAATATCAATATATCGGATCAAAAAATGAAATAGGCTATCAATATAACGGAAAAAAATCATCGATAATAATTAATGTTCCCGTTACAGTAGACTCCCTCTTATCCGGACACCTTTAAACTAGACTAAACTCGGCAGAAATGACATCCCTTTAACCGGAAATTTGTTATCAGCATATCGGTTTAACTGGACTAGATGGACAGGAAGTGGATGGTACTGAAACGACTGTTCTCGTGGGAAAGATTTGAGACCAGTGACCACGTGTCCAAATAGGCCTACGTAATAATCATTATTGGCTTATACAGTATGCATTTAAATGGTCCGTTTTAAAGAGTTTTTGGGGACGTCGGTTTAACCGGAAAACCCGTTATCCGGACTGGCCTCGGTCCCGAGGAGTCCATATAAAAGGGAGTCTACTGTATTTTGTCTTAAGTTAGTCATTTTTAAAAGGCTAGTTTTTTTAAAAACATGTTCTCATTTTGTATTGACACTCATCTGTTCTCTAATTACAAACATTAGGTTTAAATAAATTTTCAAACAAAAGTAGCCTACCTCTCATAATTTGTATAAAAACCAGTGGTGATAATGAGTCATTGTAATAAAGTTTAGGAATTTAAAACCATAATAAGAGGAACTCACGCCTAAACACTCAAGAATCCACACAAAAAAAACAGCTTGATACATTTACACTTGTGATAGGGCCTACATAAGTTTAAAAATAAAAGAAACAATTATTTCCTAAAAACTTAATGATAAGTTAGATAGCAAACATTAGGCTAATTTTTTCTTTTGGTTTCTTAAGAGCCATTTTAGATTTAATGTTACACAATGATTTTTAGTTTTAAATAAGTTAGGCTAGTAAGAATTACGATTTAAACCCAACTTTAATCTGACAAGTTGGATTGATTACAATATTTATCTGTGCCATAAATTTGTATGTATTGATAACCAGTGTACCACTCCTTAACTTTGTTTTCTAACTAGACTTTCTACACCATATCTAGTTGTGGCTTAAACATGAGGATTATTTATTATAAATGATAATGCCATTTTAATGTCGTGTGGTACGATTTGGTGATGGTAAATTAGTTTATGTATTTGTATTCATTGTTTTTTTTTGTTTTTTTTATTGTAATGGGATCAACTGAAAGCAAAATGAAACTGTCCTCTGAGTTAGAGGTGGATGACGAAGTAGATCCCAATGAATTAGATCTGATAATAGTTGTTGAGTAAGTACCGTAGTTTTGTTTTCTAAAACTAAAACACTTGTCTACAAAACTGTTCTTTTGATTTGAGCTTCTGTTATTCATGCAACAATTTGAAGAGTATAAATTATACTTTAAATATTATTGTATTATTGTCAGTTATATACAAGATATTTAACTGGCTAATAATCTTAGTGATTGTGGTACATTTGTAACCCCTTTGCCTATCATATGATTTTAGGTACTAAAAATCTTGTGTTCATACATGAGCTGTTGGACGTGAAGAATTAATTTAGCTAAAAATTAACATTGCTAGGGTTGTAAAAAGTCCAGATTTGCTTATGGCATCAAGAAGATTAAAAAATCACCTAAGAGCGCCATTTAATTTGATATCGCATTATTCTTATGGATAGGTTTTGGTAACTGAATGCACCGAGAGGTCAACAGAGTTGGCTGTCCAGCTATTTCTTGTGGAAAGGTTCGCCGCTGGTAGAAAGATCAAGTCAATTGGAATAGCGCGTAGAGAAGGATGAGAGAAAGTGACTTGTGGTTTTAAATTAATCTGATGGTAAAAAAACAAAAACAGTGGTAATAAGGGGGCAGTTCTTGTCCACGTACAGCTTGCCACTCTAATTGGCATGACCCATACCACTACGGTACATATGGATGTTTACTGACACCATAGGCTCAACAAATGTTACAGTACCTACTAAAATTATTTGTCAAAACCAAACACATAAAGATGCAGATGTGAACAGTTTCCAAGCATGTTAGTTTCTCGGTCTCTTTGGGGTATGACTAGCCTCTGACAACTTCTTGATGCCTAAGTTCGCATCCTTTAAATGCACTGACCCGAGCATGACAGTTAAATGTCTAGAACTGGATCCAACATGTTAGAGTTGGAAATTTTTTTCTCAAGCTTGATAAGACTGTCCAAAATACCTTTGCTATTCCTACAAACTAATTTCCTGTGGATTTAAAGTAGCCTATTTTATTAGAAATAGTGCTCAGCAAGCTGTGCATGAGTCGTTTAAAGAAGGATAGGCCTACTGGTGGCTGTTGTACAGAAATTGTTGCTGTTGGCCAACATTTTTCTATTACAGACTGATGCATTTATACTCAAGTTTTATAGATAAAACAAACTAAACCAACTTTTTCAGAGAATGTCAGCCAGAAACCTTACCTAGTCTTCGAACTCTTAATTCTAGTCATAGTGAAGAAGTTCTGGTTTCACCATGTCGATCGTTTTTCACTCTTCCTGGCTCTCCGGCAAAAACAAGAAAGTTCACTGGAAAGAAACTGGTTGGGTAAGTTATTTTTATTTCTCCTGCAGTTCCGGTATTTTGATTTAATTAATTATAATTATTTTTCACCTTAGTTAAATTGTACATCAATAAACCTGTTTTAACCCTTTCAGTGCTAGGCCATTAATTCATATTTCTTAAGACTTTTTTGTTTGCCTTTTAATTCCATTACCTTTTGTTGAATTTTAACTGTATAGTTGTTACTATTTTATTAATTAGACTAATTGACTAATTTTGAATAATAAGACAATAACAAATAAATATATAACAAAGAATAGTCCGGGTATTTGTAGTAAACATTAAATAAAACTTTGTTTTTGTTGTAAATTTCTAAGTTTTCTTATAAATTGTTATGTTCTGATAGCATTGTTTGAAACCAAAATCTCATAAAATCTAAAGACATCTAGTTTACGATGTAATATTGAATTTAACCTTGATTTAGTTTGATAAGGTTATTATAATATAGCAATTTTAGGAAAAATAGTTTTTTGCAGCAAAGCCTCAGTAACAAAATTTATTATCACTAATTTTTTTGGTTTAACAGAAAAATATCATCTAAACAGTCCGTTACTAACTAGTGCTGCTACCTTTTTGCGCTACCTGTCCGCAATCGTTGGCGTCAGCTTAAATACCGGGTTTTGTTTTGACTCCTCAGTCTCCAAGCACAGATAGCCGAGAAGGCTAGGGCGTGTGTCACTTGGCCAGTGCTATTGGTCTGCTCAGGTTCGATTCCCGTCCTGTGTGGCAAATAATTGGTGACCTGTGTGTTTTTAGCGATATACTACAACCACTGGGGCATAGTGAGGTGTTGATAATCCTTGGTTTAGACATACACCTCGGATCATTGGGTTGGGTGAATCTTTAAGCTGATTGATTGTTAGTGTATCCTATGAGCATGCAAGTCACCAATGGCCGTTTTGCTACTTTTTGTTAAAATGACCTTCCTCTCTATATCCCTTAGAGATTTTAGTAAACGCCGATATATTGTCACATAGCACTCAAAGGGTTAAAGACATCTTTACATTTATAACTAGGTCTGGTTTTCATAACTTGAGCTCTATAGAATGCTAACTATTAAAAATATATTTGGACAGTAATACTAGTCTTTTTGATTATTCCCTATGGGTTCCATAATTAGTTACTAAAATGGTTTTTTGTGAAGAGGAGTCTACAAAACAGAGACTCCCCATGGCCTAAGAGAACCTCATTTTTTTGTGAAAGGTTAACTGCAATGATCAGATTGTGAGTTTGAATTGTACAGATTATTCAGTCATCATATAATTTTTGCCATGTTTATCATGTTTTCCTCTATTTTTGTATGAACACTAAAACATGGTAAACTCAAAGACCAAGCATAGTACTCCAGTCTAAATTTGATTACAAGGTTGCAGCATAAGAGGTATAGCATTTAGCCTTTTTGGTTGAGTTTTACTTGCATAGAAAGTATCAAGTTAAGACTTTCTCTACTAACAATTAAATACTGCTAATGTTCGTGTGACAACAATAGCTTAAACAGATTAATCTCGACCAGGTCAAAACAATATCAGTCAAATAGTTAACTTCCATATACTGTATATGAATGTTATTTTAGTTGAACAATGTTCCAGATTCACAATGGAAGAGATGTATGAAGTGGTGTCCGATGTTGAGAACTACAAAGCATTTGTTCCGTTCTGTAAACGGTCCAATGTCCTGACACGGACAGACACCTACTTGAAGGGGGAACTTGAGATTGGTTTCCCTCCGATCGTGGAAAGTTACGTTTCTCATGTAACACTTGATCGTCCTCGGCTGGTTGTAGCCGAGTGCAAGGACGGGAAGCTGTTTGATCACTTGGTTACCAGCTGGAAATTCAGCCCGGGGTTGAAAAACAAAAAGCGATCATGTGTCATCGACTTTCACGTAGACTTTCAATTTAAGTCTGTTCTCCACTCACAGCTAGCTCATATGTTCTTCAACGAACTCGTCCGTCAGATGGAGTCAGCATTTTTTGACGAAGCAGAACGTAGATTTGGAGCTGCATCAATGCAGACGATCAAACTAAAAGTTACTCCCTCCACCGGTTCATGACCCTCAATTCCTTAGTAATTATTTTCAATTAGGTTGGTAATTTAATATTTTATTTTTTTATTTGTATATATTATTTGAGAACAATGTTACCAGGCATATATTGTGAAGGAAATTTAACAAGTTTTGTTGCTAATTTTGTAAATATTGATTGTTGGTAACGTTTATGTAACGTAGATTGCTTTTTGGACGTTATAGTTCAAATTATTTATTTTAGTTTCATAAAAATGCATATTTTGTTGTTAAACAAACTGTTTTCACCCTTGAGGACCTGTTATTAAGTGATACCCATTGTTTACTTGATATTTAAAACTAAAAGTGTCCAGTAATTTTTTTTATTTGATTTACAAGAATATGTGTGCTTACAGGATAAATAAAACTACTTGGGTTTGAGAAATGTTTTTCCCTTCAAAGAAATTAACATTCAAGAACCAACTAATAACTGTTATTGGGTTGAAATATCTTGTGTTTGCATTGCTATGCTCTTTTCATTTGAATAAATTAATTGTAAGAAAGCATAAACATTTTAAAATGTTGAGAGAGGATTTCACGTTACCTGACAATATTTTGAGGAAAAAATTTTCTTGAAAACAAAATTTATTTCCATAATTTATGTGAAAGTGTTATAGCTAGTCTTAATTTATATGTTAAACATAGTAAAAATTTTCTTTATGTAAGTGCATGAACATTAGGAAGCTTTTATTTGCCTTTGAAATTGCCTAGATGTTGTTAAGGAAGCTTTATGATAGGAAAAGTAGAACTTATTAGGAATGTTAACTGTTACATTTAAAGAGTTACTCAGAATATTATATTTACTGTTGAATGTTGGTAACCATTTATGATTCTTGTACTATTATGGTATACTGGAACATATTTTTTTATGTAACTTGAAATATGAATTTATCATATATTTTTGGTCTAATTCATTTTGGATTAAATATAGCAAATTGTACACTCACATTTTTGGTAAATGTAATTTTATTTTCTAATGTATAATTTTGATGTCATCAGATTTGTAGGATTTAATAAACATATAAATAGGTAAAAACATTTTAGTTTGTTAACTTTGAATTATTTGCATTAGCCTATTCAATATAACATCTGTAAAATGGGGGGCCTATCTGTAAAATGTTATATATTAGATATACCGGTATTTGAATAGTTTCAGATAAGATAGTTGATAATAGTCATTCTATTGGCCCCACTACAAAAGCAGCAAGCATGTGTCTAATCTATCAGCATTGGTTTTCTTCATCAACAAGGTTTGCCAAAGTGCAGTGTAAAATTAAATTTTTTTTTGTATAAACTACAATCTTTTAATCCTAAACATACCCTTAGCATGTGACATTACCCCCATATCGACAGTTTCTATTAAACATCAACAATGTCTTAGTGCACTGTATTTTACAAACAATAAAAACAATCTAAAAATAAAAAATTCAAGTCGGCATAAAATTTCAATAAAACCAAACAAAATAAGTTGAACTAGTGAAGGGCTTGAAAATCAATATTAGGATTAGACAAAAGCACAACACAGAGGAGCCAATGATGCCAAAATACATAATGGCCACACGCCTGGCTCAAGGCCAAGTTATAAATAGTTCTTTAGGTCATGGCCGATATTCACATTACCTCAAAAGATAAAATAATTATGATATGTTTTGTAGCTCAGAATCTTCACTTTAGTTTAGTTATTTGCTAACCGTTTTTATCCTTTTTGATATAATGTTAACATTTCCTTAAAAAACAATGATGACAAGTTTTGTAGCTCATAATTTATATTTTCATTTAGTTTTGCTGTTATTATTAGATGTTTATTTCAGACTTCAAACAGGATTGTGGGGATGAAAAACTGTTCATAGATCAAAATATATTAGTCTTTAATTTATCCTTATTTACAAAAATATATAAAATTATATTTACACGAGAAATGCACAATTGGAGTAGATCGATGGGATGAAGAGCATTTGACACCTAAAACAATTTTGTTAACATTAAGCCTCATACAAATTACAATGCAGTAGATTCAATACAGTGCAGATCCATTTGGTCCAGACTTCATACATTTTAGACAACTGTCTGAATAGTGAATATGACTCACACATTTGCAAGTACTTAGTGCCACTTTGACCATAGCCACACAAACAAAAAAGCCACAGCCTATTTATCTAGCGATGTTCAGCATAAGTAACGGTACAGATTATATTGCTTAAGTGGTATATTACTGTACTGTGGTACTGCTCTCACAGGCTTATGTGAGATTTTCAAAGGTATCCATTGTCCATTATCATTCAAAAGTTAATGAAGAAATCCACCACCTTCTAAAGGTTCAAACTTAGTTTTATTACCTGACACAAGGTGACAACTGAATGACAGGGTTTACTGTTACATAGTTTTCATGCAAAAGTATTATTTGGTATCAGTTCTTCATTAAATGAAATTATCAAAGGTATCAAAATAATTGTCAAAGTTTTTATTTGACACAGTAACTTCTTATGGTCCTAATAGTCTAGTCGCTAGGCCATGTCCCGTGTGCATTATATGTCCCCTAAGTTTTGTTGAGGGGCTTTGTTTAACACCTATGGGAGCTTATAAATACCCCCGCCGCAGCAAACCTGCAGACTAAGCGAATTTCCATTTGCCTGATTGTATTTAAACTAAACTGCCTCCTTAAAAATATCACATTTATTCCCTATCCAAATAGAATTAGTTACTTATATATGAGTTTGAGAATTTGAAATTAACCATTTTTTGGAATTTTCTCTGTAACCATTAGGCGCATAATAACGCTTAGATATACTAAATTGTTTGTTTTTTAAGCTCTACAAAATGGTTTGGAAAGAAATTGTGAAATTTTGTGCTTTTAGGGTCAAAAATGGGAAAACCCTATTTTTACCCCATAAAAACCCCCGTTCCCATAGTCCGAGCATGCTGGTTCCCGAACTCGTTTGAAGAAATGTAGATTTATAAATAATTTAGTGGAACTCCAGCCAGGTAGATGAAAATTCGCTCAGTCTGCAGGTTTGCTGCGGTGGGGATATTTTATTAGATCCCATAGGTGTTAAACAAAACCCCGCAACAAAACATAGGGGACATATAAGTGCACACAAACAGGTTTTATAGACAGACCAGCAGAGTACCCGTCCTTTGTACGGGGTTGGCGTGTAAGTATAAAATTCTTATTGCAGTGTTATACTCGTGCTTTACGTTTGCAATGGGGGAGGACACGGTTTGAGAATTTGCATGAAAAAAACATTTTCTTGGCTAATAAAATCTTTCTACATTTTAGCATTTTACATACTTATCAAATATTTATGCAATTTAATCATATATAAATTTGAAGCACATTTTATATTCAATATGTTTTCAGTTTGTCCTGATATCTTGAAAAATAAAAAATAGTTATTTAAAATCTAGTAAACTACAATTTTTGTTAAAAACGCTGGTTTTGCACAAAAGAAGATGGCCACCGAAAAAATTCTGATGGGAAATATTTTTTTAATACTTGCATGACATTTCTATTTATACAATATATCTTTCCCTAGCGTCAGCTGCAGGGCGAAGCTTTTGAAATGTTGATGTTTTTCCACTTCTATCTGATGGTTTAAGTTGATTATAGACACATTTTTCTACAAGTTTTATGACCACAGTTAGTTGCTGCAGCGTATATAAACATCTAATGCTCATATATAAACGTCCATTGATCTGTATATATACGGCTAACGCTTGTAAATTGTGTTAAGGATGAACATTTTTTTAAACAGTTAAAAAGATTAATGAAATAAAATAATGATCTGGCTCTTCTAGCTAATAACATCCAAGAAACCAAGCAACAATTGAGAAAACTGAAATAATGTAAACAAAACCACCATTGGCTAACAAAATCAAAATTGGAGAACATTGCATCAAAATTGTAGAAAATTTCAAATACTTAGGTGAAGTTATAACATACAATCTTAAAGAAAATCCATCATGGGAAAATAGAATTAAAAAATTGATCAGAATGCAACATATTACTAAAAACACATACAACAAAAAATGCCTATCAATAGCAACAAAATTGAAACATTACAAAGCAGTCATACTTCCACAAATAACATATACAAGTGAAACTATATTTAAAACAACTAACACTGTACTGAAAATAGAAAGAAGAATCATCAGAACATGTATAACCAAATAATATCAAAAAGATGGAGTTTGGAGACTGGCCTCAAATAAAAATGTATGTAAGGAAATAGAGCCATTGACAAGTATAATTAAAAAGAAAATTTCATTCATTGGACATCTTTTAAGGACACCGGAAAATAGAATAAGCTAGAAAATAATTGACAAGTTGTGGAATAGCAAGAGTGACTATAGGTGGATTACAGAGATTAACCCCTTAACCGCGGCTGAAGTTGGCACGCCGCGATCAGTGGCGCGCAATTTAATTACGCTCGCCGATGGCCTAGCGCGGGTTTTTTTTTTTAATTTTTTGTGGTTTTTTAACATTCTGAGAAATCATATGCTAAAAACATATTTTAAAGCTATTAACTATGATAAATTTTATTATAAACTGTGTATTAGTTTTCATGTTAGCGTAAATAATTATTTAATTTCTTATTTTATAAATAATTAATAATAATAAACTAATAAATAAATAATAAAATATTGTATTATTCATATTTACTTACTGTACGGGTTGTCTCTGTTGTCTGGTCACACAAGCGGATGTAAATATTGAAATCTATACATATATTACACTATGTACAAAGTTTCCTTGACATTTCGATTTCTTAGAAATTCTTCAGGGTATGATATTCCCTGAAGCACGGCACTACGCACAAGGAAACTGCGCAATCCTGGCACTGGTACCGCGACTCCCGCCTGGCCGGTTCACGTCGCGTTGTGTGACGGCAAACCTAGCACTGGCGTGAGGGATACTCCTTTTTTCAGTTGAAGGAATACATGACGGGAAATGACGCTGAGTCAATCTTAGTGGTGTATCACCGTGAGAAGGACGACCACCTGTTTTTTGACTGTGGGTCTGAGCTGCCATATTTTCCTCTAAAAGTTGCCGAACTAGCTATAGATGAAATTCGGCTAAAGTTGGTTTCTTGCCACTTACACATAGGTATTATTGCATGAGAGTTTAGTATTGCTAGATCCACAAAATGCAAAAACAGCTTCTTGTACCACTTTTGGGTGCGCCTTACACATGTAACATTGCTTAGCATCATATTTGTGTGGTCTACAGAGCCCATGCTATAGTTATATTCTTGGACACATTTTGGCTTCATAACCTTTTCTTTTGTTACGTGGTTCACTTTTCCGGATTCAACTACTTTATCGTCATGTTCTGTTGTGATCATCATTACTTCTCTTTTATCTGTCCACCTTACAACCATGCTCGTCCCATCATTGACAACCTCCCGTTCACCAACTAGTAACTCTTTTATTTCTGAAATTCAGGCATACCAATTCTGTCCCATCTAACTGTACCACAAGCATTTGTTTCGTTCAAATGCAAAAACATAAACAGATCAGGACTACCATACCAATTATCAACGTACAAACAATGGCCTTTGTTCAAGTAAGGTGCGAGAAGTGTTGTGACAATCGCACCCGACAAACCTAGGTTATCTGTGTCATATATCTCAGTTTCTTTTCCAGTGTACCCAATCACATCAAGAACATACCCTGATTCACAATCGCACAAAACATAGGTCTTTATCCCATACCTACTTATTTTGGAGGGAATAAACTGTTTGAATGCTAATCTACCTTTGAACAATAGAAGACTTTCGTCAATACATAAATTGCGAAACGGAATAAAGTTCTGTGAAAACATTCGCCTAAACATATCGATTAGCTGTTTGACTTTGGTAAGCTTACCATACTGATTTGGCTCAGAGTTGTCATTGAAATGCAATAGACGCAATATAGTGCAATATCGATCTCGGCACATGATGTTAGGGATAAAATTTTGCTGTAATTTATCAGTTGACCAATAATTTTCCAAAACTTTTTTTTTTATTGTGTACCATTAGCATGGAAACAGCAATAATAACTTTTAACTCCTTCACAGTCAACGGTTGCCAAATTTTGAGCCTTGAACAGGGTGTTGGGGCCTGTGACGAAGCAATAAAGTCATAGTGTTTATTTGTTTGCTCAACAATAAACTCTAAGATCTCATTTGGGAACATTTTGTCAAAACAATCCACCTCACGACAAGGATCGGGATACATATCTCTACCTACTACCCCACTATTTGTGGGATAATTTATTACAAATGTATTGGAATTCCATACGTGAGGATATTTAGGTTCTTTTGGCTTTCTTTTTGGATTAAGGCTTTTCTTTTTCTTCTTTGGTTTATATGTTTTTGGTTTAGATTGTCTTCCTTTTTTATTACTTTGGTTTGGTATATTTTGTCGACCTCAAGGTGCGGAAGGACCAGGATTATTAGGCATAGGGGGGGAATCAGGCTCATCTATCTCCGAACCAATGTCATCTAAATTACAGTTATTGTAATCATCATCTATAAAATTATCATTATCACTTATCTCTGGAGTCGCATCTAAATTAGCACGGTCAAGATCCCCGTCATCACTCATCCATCCGCCATCATCCAATAAGTCTTCACCAGGTCCTAACTCCGAGCTGGGCAGTTCCTGGAGTCGTAACAGTTCGCCATCGGCCATTTCAATCACTGATTATCACCATCAACAAAAACACACAATATTGCACGTAGAAACAAAAACAGATATAACAGAAACAACGGGTTTGTAATTTGTATTATAAACACGAAGATGCGACGTTATCATCTAAACGCGACAGTAGCAACTAGCAAGTAGGACATTTGACAATGCAGATCACGTGGTGTAGACGTAGTTCCAGAAACATACACTTGAGTGCAGCACCGAATGAACTGTCTATTCTTAGGGTCAATGACCAGAAACAAATTAGTAGAAGACTTATTTCAACGAAATGCATCAGCTGAGAACGTCAAAACCGTCTAAACTCGTACGTCGCGGTTAACGCCACAAGGCTGATGTATGAGATATTCCGTGCGTCGCCATATCGTGTACAGAATACTACCACGGAATAACACATGTGTTGCGGTTAAGGGGTTAAGGAGGACATGAGAAGGTTGAAAATATCATTAGAAGATTTGGAAAATAAGTCAGAGGCGCTTGCAGTACTCAAAGACAAAATTATCATCCTGCCAATAGGAGCAAACAATCAGAGACAAGGAAGAGTGGTTTCGGAAGAAGAAATAAAACAACGGTCGGAAAGAATGAAGAAGTATTAGGCGGACAAGAAGAAGAGACAGTATTTAAAATGAATCTAGCCATTATATTGACTTAAGTGGTCCAATGCTGGCCATAAAATAATAATAATAAAAATAATAATAAATAAAAAATATCATACGAACAATAATCATGACTTCTTTATTATTACTAAAAGTCTAAACCGACTTAGGCCTATCTAACCATAAAACAATAGCAATATATAAAACGGCCACAAAAATATATATATACAACGCTCAGGAATATTAACAAATGTTATAAAAAATTCATCAAAATTAAAAATATTGAGCAACCATGTATGAAATGACTGTATGAATGCATCTCTATGTATGCCAAGGACAAATACAAATCTTAAAAGCTTTAAAAAAAATGCAACACTTATTTTAATTATTTTCATTTAAATATAACATAGGGTATACCAGTTTTTCAATCAAAATGGGCGTATTTGAGTTAAGCCACCAATAGGTGATGTTAATTGCCGATTTTTGTTGAATTTGTAGACTTTTTATCCAGTTAAACTGATATAACTATAACAAGTTATTGTAGGCTATACCATCTTTTATGCCAACAACATAAAATAATTTAACATGTCAACTACCTCAGAAACCAAAAAAAGGGGTGGAAAATAGAATTTTATACACTAGCGTACACTGTCTACCCCGATCAACAATGTTATTTTTTAATCAATCGACAGGTGGTCCATATAGCTGGGATGTCTTCAGTGCTACAACATACCTGTAGTTACAAGTGACTAGAGCTAGTGAGGCCAGAGTAGGTTGGCCAACATGGGGGTGACTAGACCAGAGATGATGCTAGACACCAGATTTACACTGTGGTTGTCTAACAGTCCAAAGCCACTGATGTGCTTTACTCCTGGCCCTGGACACTCCACGACACAGCCACGGCTCTTGTCCAGACCTGCACAGCAGACACACATGTTATAGGCTGACTTAAGCAAAGCCATAATATGTTGGTATTATTGGCCTCAGGTTTAGTATACAGGAGTAATAATAATAAAAATCTTTATTTGTCATAAGGATACATTAGATCATCGACAAAGTCAAAACCATAATCATACATTAATCGTCAAACAAAACAAAATGAAAAACACTTTCAATATTTTGAAAAACAATAGGGCTTAATAACTAAAATATGTACATATAACCAGGGCCGGACTTAGGACTTCAGGGGCCCCAGGCAAATTTTCCAATGGGGCCCTAGGATTTCAGTTTGGGGGGTGGTCTTCCGGGGGGTCGGGGGGTGGTCTTCCGGGGGGTCAAGCCAAAGTCCGGAGAGCAATTTAAGGCCAAATAAGCAATAAGTTCTGTTCTATATAAAAAATCGTTCTTAAAATATAAAAATAGAACTATTTTAACATATTTTTATACACAGCATCTTTTAATTTTATACACAAAAAATAAAAATGTTTGAAACCTAATCTCTTGCATTCACTATTTAAACAAACTCTGACCAAATGTTTCAATTGCTTTGTAGTACCAGTGACGGCATATTTGGTATAGTAGCATGGTAGGCTACCATAATATATTTGGATTAGAAGTATTGATATATTTTTGTTTATTAAGTATTTAAATTATCGATTATTGCTGTCGATTTGTATGTTTTTTTCAATATTACTACAATATAGGTGTGATTATTTTATTTTGGTTTAAAACTCTTTTTCTAATAATAAAAATCAAACTAATTTGAATTTTAAAATCTTTTGTTTTTTGCCACGATTTAGCCTTAATTTATATACATAACACTTTCTGTTTTCAATTAGCCTATGTATCAACACCAATAAAAGTAAAATAGGCTTGGAACTAGGTTTTTTTCATTAACTCTAAAACATAACTGTTGGGTTGTAGAGATTTAGTTGTTTTTTTTTTTTTTGTAAAAAAACCATAAAATATAAAATATGACTTATGTTTATTTTCATAATGGTTTTGGTGCCTATGGCATTCTCGTTTTTATAATACTGTATGTTAAACTCCTAGCATGAAAAGTACCATTGAGGACTTTCAAGTTTGAGTTTTTTATTAACGAGCAAAATCTTGCAATAAAAGTCTAATAAACACTCACTAGCTAACTTTTTATATGAGTAACTGAAAGATGTTTAAATGGATTCAATATTGATTAATACAACACAAACATAGCATTGAATACATCACTACTCACTTCAGCTTTGTTTTTGTACTGTTAGTTTGCAGAATTACAACAAAATAACACAAAAGTAAGACAAATGTGTATGTTTTTTATGTGTGTGTATGCGTGAGACAGAAGGACTAGACGGGATCCCTTATCAGGTCATTATCATTTATTGTTGCAGCTGCTTCTGCTTATAGCTTGTTTACGATTTCAGTTGACAACGCTCGCCCACTCCCAATAAATGTATTTTTTTGTTAACATCAGAAGACTCTAGTTGTTGTAAAGTGTATATATAGATTTTAAAAACTCTGAGGAAAAGTCCCTTAGGGTCAAGAATTTTGTTCCTAGTAATGCCTTAAAATACACCTAACAATAACCTTAAATATAGGATAACGAAAATAAAAATAAAGCTGTTACAAAAAAAGGCCATTTGGTAAGTGTCTGATTAATTTTCAAAATTATTAATAAAAACTACTGTGCAAAGGGGGCCCCGGGCGCTCGCCCCCTCCGCCCATAGGTAAATCTGGCCCTGCATATGACTAAACAAACAGCAATATAAGGACCTGATAAAGCAACAGGTTAGCAGCAGGGTTATACAATCAAAGATTTATTTGGCCAGCTTTGAACAAATCGTCCAGGCTATAAGAAGGGTTGTCTAATAGCCAATTATAAAACAAGGACTTAAATTTTTCCTGCGGATAAGCGGATATTGTGTTTTAAAAGGTTATATACTTTAGTTGAAAACACTATGTGGCTCTTGCTAGTCTTACTCAGACGATGTGATTCTAACAAGGCACTATTTTTAAATCTGGTATTGTGATTATGATTATTGAATTTTAGGTGATGGGGTTTTTTAAGATATAAAGGGCAAGATCATAATAAACAAATTTATTACAGTTTGAATCTTAAAATCCTTAAAAAGAGGCTTGCAGTGCTCGTCTGGCTCTGATCCATTCAGTATATAGACAAGTTTATAGTTTACTAGCTGTGTGCCCGTTCTACGCACGGGGATCTTAAAGTAGTCAGTTGAAATCTTCTTATATTAAGAACAGCAGTTGGTTTACATATTTTTAGATATGCTGGCAAAACTAGTCATAGTCATAGTCAAATTTCTTTATTTATCTTGTATATACATACATAAATAGTGTCACAGTAAAGTAAAATAATTATAATCTTATGGTAAATTACATAAAAGCTCTCTCAAAGCTATTTAAAAATTAATTGAAATAATCCATTTATCAACTTACTAGATTTAACTTACTGAAACAAATAACAATACTTAAAAATTTGTATATGCTAAGTTAAATTACATGAAGTGTATACATTTACATATACCTCTGAACATCTCAAATAATCAACTAGAATCGAAAAATTCTTCCTTTGAATAACAGCTTTTTTTTACAAATAATTTTTAACCAGATACTTTAAGTTTTGGTTATTAATTTTGCTTTTTAAATTTTCAGGTAAATGATTTAAACATTTAGAGCCAAAATGAGTAGCTTTTTTATTTAAAAAAACTAAGCCTATGTTGGGTTAAGTTTTATTAAAACTATTATTTATATATTTATTTAATATTTATATTTATTTGAACTATATTTATTTAAACTACAGTCCAACCTCAGTATAACGAATCTGAAGGGACCGAACTGAATATTCGTTATATCAAGGATTTCGTTAAAACGAGGTTCGTTATATAGAGGTTAGGTTTGCAGGAATTTCGCTAAGTCGAGGTTCAGAACCAGCGTCGGTCAATACAGGTCGGGATTAGACATCATTAAAACACAATTAAAGTAGCATAGGCTACAATACTTTACAGTACAGTGTTTACATTGTACAGTAGAACCTAAATTATCCGGCAATATAAAGGGGAGGGATCTTGAATATTGCACAATCATGACAATGGCATTGACCTTGGTACAGGTTAAAAGCTATAAGTTTAAAATCACAGCTTGTTCTAACCCTCCTAAAACCTAGCCAAACACTGTATTGCGTAGTCATAAACCATGTAAAGAACAAAACAAAACAGTAGAAAGTTGTGTAAGCTACTGCTCGCGATAGGCCGGTAGGCTACTTACAGTACAGTACTGATTTATCACAACAGAGGAATGTCAATAATAATCATTAACTATAGCATTGGTGTTGCTAGTTGAAACAAATTGTATTGAAAACAATAATTTATTAGATAAGTCATTATAAAAGTGTATAATCATAGCCAACTTAAGGATAATAAAAAAACACTCGTAAAAGAAATGTTAAAATAACGATGTTGCTATTCTTTCTCTTTAGTTTTGTTTTTATATTCTTTCTTAGGTTTCTCTTTATCCAAAAATTGTACAATTCACCATAGTTATCCCATATCGCCCAATCACAGCTTACTTAACATTACGTCGTCATCAGTCCTCAGTGAATGAAATCAGTTCTCAGTTGCAACATAGCGCGCGCAGCGACAGCAGACAAAGATGTAAAACGGAGCAGACGAATGTTAGCGCAAGCGATGACGTGATTTTCCCAAAACAATAATTGGGTGGGGAATTTGTTATATCGAGGGAAAGACGTAGACAATTCGTTATGCAGAGGTTAAATTCGCAATGTAGAGGTTCTGACAATGATAAATTCGTTATATTGAGGTGTCTTATTTTAGCCGAAATCACGAAAAATTCGTTAAATCAAGGTCGTTGTTATGGTTTGTTCGTTATGTAGAGGTAAAATATACATTGTGTCTTATGGAGAGTTCTAGGGGATTAAAAAAAATTCGTTATATCAAGGAATTCGTTATATCGAGGTTCGTTATATCAAGGTTAGACTGTATTATATATAAACCTTCGCAAATACAGTATCTGACAGTTTCAAGCCAAAACCCATGCTTCGCAATTCAATGTCACCCGGATCGTGTTAGTCCATATGTTAAATCCAATGATTGAACTAAAAAAGCTTTATAGGCCTAGATCTAAGAGGCATAGCCCTAAGGTAGGCCTATAGTTGAAAGTTACTTCCCACAATGGTTCAAAGTATTTAAAGTACTACCTCAACCTCACCATTTAACACTTTATTCGGGTTGACATTTTAATTATCAAGGTGCTCTTGTCCTTTTCATGACACTGAGAAATACGGACATAAATGCGTTACCAACAGACATACACACAAAAATACAGAACTTAATTAGGGAAGTTGCTACGTTTTAAGCATAACAAAGTACATATAAAATTAGTATTTGAAATTTGTATTGTCATCAAATTTTATCATACCAATCTATATTTGCTTGGACCGAAGATGGCCCGAAATGCTGTCGAAATGGCGTCTTACTATATGAAATGAAGTACTATAGACAATTTAGATTGGTAATTTATAATAAAAATTACCAAAATAGGCCACAAACTATTGATACATAAACAACGTAAATCATAAACAATTCATGATGGTTTGTTAAACAAATATTTTACTTAAATGAATTATAATTTTCTTAGCATAAACTAAAATTTTGAACCCAGACAGAAAAAGCAAAACTTATACAGTTAAGACATCAATTAAATTGAGTACGGCTATAATACAACTGTATAAATAAGGTGAACACCAACGATAACTAATTTGTAAATTACAGTGATGTGTTGGTACGTAAAAATGATTCTTGCTGCTACCAACGGTTCTAAGGAAAAGAACCAGTACCAAAAATCAACGTTTACAGTTAAGAGTTACGTCCGACAAATTAAATGTGACAATCAAGTCTCAAAGTTATTGATTTCTTGGTTTTGGATTTTCTCGTAAAAGGTTATTGG